GCAGTTGAACAGGCTGAATGGGCCTTTCGGGGCTCTTTTTCATCTTGGCTGTTTATGCGTGGCTTGTCGAAAGGCGCTCTCGATATCGTGGTAATCTTTGGCGTAGGACGGTGGAGGCGAAGCGAGGATGCTAACCGTATATACCGCCGAGTTGCCCGAGAATATCAACACACAAAAGAACGCCACGACCTGTCAGTTGGATAGAGAGGAAAGAAAACCATAAAAATGGGCGAAACCGTTTGAGAAGGAGAAGAAGCCGCTAACAAAAGCGCGTACGGCAAGTTGTCAGCCTTGGGTCGGACCTCAATTAATAAATCAAACTGTAGCAGTGCAAGACAGGCGAGTCGGTGGTTTTTGGGGGGAGAGAGGAGGTTGGATTCGGGCGTCTCTCCATACGTCACCCCATGCGGCCGTGACGTTGTGTGCACGTCACTCTGCTTGCTCATGCCTGAGGGGGAAAAAAAAAGAGCCGTGTAGAAGACGGCTTCTTCCCTGCGGGAGGAATGCTCTGCTGCAACGTCTCGTCTACTTACCGGTGCACCACCATGTGCTTACATAAAAGAGGGTTAGAAAGAGAGAAAATGTGGCTTGAAAGGTGCAGGTGAGGTAAGCAGCCACGTCGTTTGAAGTAGGTATTCAGGTAGACGACAGAGTGGCAGGTACCTTCCAGGTTCTTGGAGGGTAAGTACGTTCAGTCGATACCTAGGTACCACCTACCATATCCCGTATGGAGTACGGAGTATCCGTACTTGAGGTGAGAACTTGATGTCTTGTGCGGCATGCAAAGTGCCTCGGACATCAGATGACCCATGGAAGTCATGACCCTACCGTGCGGCGTGCCTCATCTCTTGTTTCTTCTTTCTTTCTTCTGAAGCTCCAGACTTGAGGTGACTTCAATAAGTGCCGCAGGGCAATTGACCCTCCACCAACCTGACCTGTCCATTTAGCGTGATGTGGGCAAGGCCCGCGAGGGGAGGTTACTCTGCAGTCTCGCATTGTGTCCGTATTAATTGACCCTCTCTCGCGCTCTTACGGGGGGGCTGAAACAAAGCGCCCCATGATCAAGCTGTGGAGCATCTATTCGTACAGTAGGTGACCGGGCCGTGCAAGCGTTCAAGCCTCTCCAAAAGTCTCACTCGAAATGTCTTGGGTTCCTACTCCGTACGGATACAAAATGTTGCTCTGGCTGGGCCCCGCACGGCCCAAAATTGCGATGCGTTTTCGGTGAGCGGGGGGAGGCCGGCGACGAGGGTGGACGGCAGTGTGAGTGGTTGAATTGTCGGGGCCATCTGGTAGGGGGTGCGGGAGAAGGTTCCATCCGAGGGGACCATCTCATCTGAATTGGATCTGAGCCAGATCTGCCTCTTCCTATTTGGGGCCAGTGTCCTCGCCCGTTCGCAACTTGGCCTTCATTGGCCAAGCGCCTTAGGTGGAAGCCCGCGCTAGCCCGCTGGTGTCACTGTTCATTCCAATCCTGTCCAGTCTGAATCGGCTAGCGTAGCTTCTTGTAAAAACTTACCTCCAAAGTAAATCGTAAGTGGGAATTAGGGCCTGCCTGCCATGAGCTGACAGCAAACCCAAAGTATCCAACACACTTGACACTCCGACGCAGCCTACCTTAGGTACCTTGCTTGCCTATTCACATCGGATAAGGACTTTGACTTCAGTTGCAAGATAATAACTTGGGATTGCAAGGATTCATTGTCCTTCCCGGGCACATTCCACGTTCTCTATCGAAATGAAATCAGAATTCTATCGTACACTAATAGCACTAGTATACGTCCACATCATCTTTCCTTGTCCAAGCTAAGGTAAGGTACCTCACGGGCACGATTCCGCTTTAGCAGGAGCCCACCTCGGCTTCCAAGGTGAAGCGTCGGCTGTGCGTCGCTAACAGTGTCTTGGAAGGGACGACCCGATATGCAAGGGAGGTGCGGATGGGATCGAGAGAAAGTACAGGTCGAAAAATCTACCGGTCCTTCTAAGGTAAGGAAGTCTCTCCCTCTCTCCCTCTCTTCTTTCCTCTAATTTCTTTTCATTGAAAGAGGATCGTTCGACGCCCAGTCCAGTTCATTACTGCAGGCAGAACAAATACTCCTGCACACTAATCCTCATGGGATACTTCATAGAGACATGAAGTAATACGTACGGATACATGGAAGTTTGGTCGCATCGCAGCATGCACATGCTCCGCTCGCCTGATGCCTCTCCGGCCAAGCGTATTCGGAGACCAGGGGTCTGTACCGCAATAGAGGGAAGGTTCAAGCGAAAATTCTCACGAGGAAAAGAGAGAACACTACCTATTCTTACTGCCTGCCTTAGATACCTACCTAATGGCTTACGGAAGACTCCGCTGGCAGAGGCAGTGAGTAGGTAGGATGGCCTGCCTGCCGCGGGAGCTTGGAGGATCGTTCAAGCTCTGGATAGCTCCGGAGAGGAGTAGGATCCTGAACAGGCTTGACGCGAGTTCGATACTGCCTTTGTGTTGGTTGTAAATGATGTCGGATTCTCTCCATTTACATACATACATACATACATAAATACCTACCTTGTAAACCGCCCGGGGACTTCTGAGAGGCTTTCAAACGTCCGGCGGGGTGCTGTCTGGCTCTGCCCATCCAATGTCTGGTCAATGCTCTCCATTTCAAGACTCCCTCTCCACCTGAGGAAATGCGCGCGGTAAGATTCAGCCACGGGTGTTTTGATTCACCCTTGACACTTGCTTGTTCCAGGCTACTTCCAGTGGGCTTTGCTCGTCTCCGAGTCGGCGGGACAGCTCCCCCAAATCTGCCTTGTCTCCCCTGGACTGGGCTCTCAATTTCGTCATGCCCTGTAAGGTGTGCCAAAGCCGTAAGTCCGGTAACCGCCTGCCTCAATCCTCAAGTCATCGCATCGCATGCAATTTCTTTGCTGACCCAGGCCAACATCTCTCGGGTCAGCATAGGCTTATTGGGCAAGGTAGACAATAAGCTAAGGTATCCGTACCTGAATCCTGAGGTGCAATAGCTGGGGGCATCTTCAAGTTGGTTGGTTGAACCTTGGACGGTTGATCAGGATACGTACCGCGGTCTGTCAAGCTGGCCAATAATCTCCGAGGCGCGGATCCTATCACCGGGGCATCGTCTGATTGACACATGACTACGGAGTACTAACGTCCCCATTCTTTTTCGAATCCGAGGGACCGAGAGAGAGCGAACTATCCGTAAAGTGCCTTCGTACCTACCATATCCACGTACCCACGATACCTATCTGTATTCGTACCTGGCCTCGACCAACCCAAGTCCGAAATAGATAGACGGGGATTCCACCTTTTTTCTGACTTCCCCATCACCCGTTTCCTCCTTTTGACGCACCCGTCACTGATCAATTCCGCACTTCCGACCATTCCTCTCCAAGCGGATAGTTACACAATCCTGAATGCCTGCCAGCTGCCGGTCCAAAATGGCGGTGGCTTCCATTTTGCCAGCAAGCTAGCCGCTGGTAGTCGCGAGCCGCGCATCTGATGTGCTCCTCTACCATTTATCGGGTGCCATCTCGCCTCATCCTTCCCAAGCCTGACACCATGTCTTCACATCTATCCCCGACTTGGCTTGCAGTACTCCGCGGCACAGCTATCGACCGGATGCCATAGTGAGGTGACGCCGGCTGGGCAAACCCTTCCAACAATAGGACGGCCACGGACGACAAGTCTCACGCCGCATATCCAGAGGCATTCGAAAACCGCAGCCCATTTCGCAGTAGCCCCTCCCGAATCCTACTCGCGCATCAGCACACAAAGATATCAGAGCGGAGCTGCACGGAGGCCGATCCGGAGAAACGAACCCCCCTGTCACTGTCAGCCAATATCTCAGCTGGTGCACCCCGAGTCCTGTTTTCAGTTCCGGTCCCAGATTTGAACCGCTGTCAAATGCTGCAAGCTGGCCAATGATTGCTGGTTCCATGTGGTCGGCGCGCCCTGCATGTCCGCCTTTGAACTGAAGCAAACAGGTTGCGACCCTGTTGAAACTCAAACACATAGCCATGACAGGGGCCAAGACGGATGCCACTAGTTTCTGCGGTCATCGGTTATAGGTATTTATTGAAGTGAGCTCGTCGAGGGAATGTTGCTCTAGCAGCGCTGACCGCCGTCCTATCTAGCGACTAGGGCCTCGAAGAATTCCGTTTCCTCCGGCCTATTATTCTAGCAAAAGAACCCTGGAAAAGTCAATACAATCTGACACACGCTCAGCCAAACCAATGCATGGCGGTAAAGCAAGATGGGTTGTAGCAAGTTTTGACCGCTTGTGACTGGGCTAACAAGACTAGTGCCTCCCTAAGCATTCCTGTCTGCTCATCGGGCTCAGAAATCAGATTCCGACTGTCTTAACAGAATGCGCTTGGACGCCTCGAGCCGTTCGTTCCCAACGGACGTGCCATTGCGGGTGGATCTTGGATACCTGCTGCGCTAGCGGGAAGAAGTGGGGGGCAAACGACAACCCCTGCCCAAGCCGATCTCCTACTAAATCCCCGGATCGTGCACCGAGCATATTATCCTATCGATCGTGGTCTTCGAGTCCGTCATCGGGCCTTACGGATACAAGTCACAACCCTACCGAAAAAGAATGCTGGAGCCTGAGCCACCGTGTCTTGGCAAGAGTCCGAACCGGCGAACACGCGGAGACGGTCGATCGCATCTTGCCGTTCGTACCCAATGGGGCAGCCCTTTGGGGCTTTTTTAGGTGGTTTCGTCTTAGCAGTATCATTCTTCTGGGCTCGTAGCAGCTTCTGGCCTTGGTCGCGCACCCAAACTGATAAAGATTGCATCCATAGCGCATGAGATCGTGCAACATCGGAGATATACCATTGGAACGAATTCTAACTGTGGGTGATTAGTATCTAACAAAATCATAGCAAGGCTAATAGTTACAACGAAGACCTTGTGCGGAGATTGGCGGAGTTCTATCTACGCGATATGAATATATTGCAGCATGCTGTCAATCCCTCGCGGCACTTACATTGATAGACCATTCACAGGAGCGTTGCCTCTGAACCCGATAACGACAAGTCCAACCTAGTTACCTACAATCTTTTCGACACCGACCTTCCAGAACGAGACACCGGGAAATAGGAGATATCTGGCGTCGACTGGAGAACGGTTCCCGCATCACGCGCCCGATACGGCCAGATAGTGATCAGCATTATGCAGTGTCCGTACCTGGCACTCCTGGGCACCACTCCCTTCCGATTTCTGAGCCTCCTGTGATGCGGGGTCGCCGTAGGGAAACGACTATGAAAGTATATCGGTTGTCTCGCTTCGCGTGCTTCAAACGACCCAGCTGCCAAAGTCTGCATCCTCAGACCTTGAGAGGTTTTACTTACTACCCTGGCTGCCTATTGCAACGATCCGATCCGCGTCATCCCGCTAGAGTTCACACCTGTCTCGATATCGATCACTTCTCACTTTCTTCAGTTCAACGATGTACTGGTACAAGACTGCGTGCCCCCCCCTGGCTTTTTTTTTTTTACGGCCATAGTCAAGTGCCAGGCGTGTTAGTGGCATGCGGCGGAACACCAGTCGGCGGTGTACCAGTTCTGCCCGTCAAGCATCATGGGCCGGTCGAAGATGCGAATCGCACCATGGCTCCTGTTTTTTGGGGAAACAATGATTCCACATCTATCAGCCCCCATCTCTGCTGTGGAGACGTGGCCGGGAGCGACCCAGCGACCCAGCGTCTATGTACGGTATGCCAGAGTGCAATTCCTTTCCCTTTCCAAACGCAATATGCCCGTCACCCCCGTGTATTTCGTCAGGTGGAGAACTGTCACGTATCCATGTCTACTTGGTGTCACGGCGCATGCGGGTGCATGGCGGCTGGCAAGTCAGACGTGGAGTTCCTGACGATGGAGATCCATGGATGGATTTGGGAAGCCGAGGCCTAAGCTGCGTATGAGTACAACTCCAACATCGTCCAACCAGCTCCAATAAACGGGTGGTCGTTACGTCTTACTACTTTTGTAGGTAAGTTCATCTTGATCAGAGGAAATATGCCGCGCGCGAAGTATCAGGGCTCTAGCTTGCTCTTTTAAGGTTTCACTGCTGATTATCTGTTGCATTTTGCCAGAGTTCCCGCCATAGTTCGAGGCCGCTCTATTCAACTTGGAGTCTAGACCGCTCATAATTCGAAGCATAAGTTCTCGTCCACGCCTAATCCACAACTACAGACTCCTTGCTACTTTGTGATATTTCGACTTTTGCCAGGGCTAAACGTTTGGCGATGAGCTGTCAATACTACGTCAGAAAGCACTTTCCTATTCAGCGATTCCGCCGATCGAGTGCATAGACTCACCTCACCGCACGTCACCGGTCCGTACTTTGCCGGGCTATTTTCATCAATGCAGGTCGGCAGGACGGCAAGCTCCCGGTCGAAATTGAATCCTGTTTTATTGCGAGACAATCAGTCAGTAAGAAAGGAGTCGGAACGTGGACATAATCATCTAGAGCCCATGACCTCATGATGAAAGGCTAAAGGGGGGGAACTCTTACCAAAGAAGAAGGGCATGGAGATCCTGTCCTCCCTGCCGTGCTGCACGACGCGGTGAACAGTCGACTTGAGCCTATCGTTTGTCATTCTCATCAAGAAGTCGCCAATGTTGACAACAAACGTGCCGCGGATCGGCGGCGCCCACATCCACTCCCCCGCGCTGTTGAGCACTTGCAGTCCTCGGTGGCTGTCTTGCCACAGAAGAGTCAAGATTTGCAAGTCCGTGTGTGCGCCGACGCCGACCTCGTCTGGGTCCTGGACCGGCTCGTCGCCGTGACCCGGATAAAAGTTAATCGCGAAGTCGCCGCCTGGATAGGTTGTCAGGGAGTCGAAATAATTTTCCGGCAGGTCAAGGGCCAGAGCAATGACACGGATAAGACGGCGCGAGAGGGCCAGACACTCGCGCCAGTGCGTTAACACTGTGGCCTTGAAGTCCGGAAGGACGGCAGAGTCGCCGTCGTCGGTCCAAACAAAGTCCTCCCGCGGCAAGTGCGCTCTGACATTCGCGGGAACCTGGTCGAGCCGGCCCTCGTGGATGGGATCGAATTCGGGTTCATAGTGACAGAGGAAGGCCTCTTTCCTATCTTTGGTCTCGCCCGGGTTGGCCTGCCGTTCCCGGAAGCCGGTGTATCCATAGGCTGAGGTGTTGGAGGTGAGCTTCCGCTTCTCCTTCTCGGGAAGCTTGAAGAACCTAGCATCGGGTGAGCTCAGATCTCCCCGGAAACGCATTCGCCTGGTCTGCAGTAGGACTCGGATTAAGTGGCAGGTGAGCGGGCGAGCCAACTTACTCTATTCCCTTTTGATGAGCCGCTTCAATCACTTGCTCGGGGATGCCGTGGTTCTTGATGTAGAAGAATCCGCTGTTTTTGGCAGCACTTAGAATTTCCTGAGCGATCGCTTTATGGGCGTCAAAGTCGCCTGTGAGCCCGCTCAAGTCGATAATAGGCACGTCGTCGAGCGTGCAGTTCTTGGGTGGGCTTGTAGACACCAGTCTGTAAGTCGGACCATCAAAGGTATTGAGCACGACCTTCTTTTTCCCCGCGGGCACGGTTTCGACTGCGGTTGTTGTGGCCATGTTGGAAAACAACCTTATCTGCAGCCTAGATCACTGGAGCGGCACGATATTCGAGGCGGTTAGTGTCAAGATGGTAATTAGTCGAACGATATCGTGATATGGTGCATGTACTTCACGAATATCGGCAATTCGACATACCAGAGTGGGTTAAATGATCTGCTATATATAAAGCTTCGATACCTGAAGCTGACGTTACACGACACCACGTTTTCTCGCCACCACGATTGAACTCTTTACATGCTGTCGAAGCTTATCTGCAAGGCAAGGTGCTGAGATAAGGTTATCACCTATCCGGCGATTTCCGGCTATTTCCTACCTCGATCGCGCTGCCCCGCCATGTGGGTATCCACCTGGGCCAATGGATAAAGCTTCAGTGTCATCCGGCTATCTCCTGCTCCGTCCGACCACCAACGATCATCTACCAACACTTCTTCACCCTTCCTTACCCTTGACACGAAGCACCTTGCTTGTATCTATATCTCGACCGGCTTATCTTCCGAAAGTTGAAAGGTTGGAAGGTGGGTAATCGATTACGCGGACCGAGGCAGGACATGCTCGCCGGAGCCGAAACGCCAAGCCTGCGACGGCGCAGGCTGAGCGACAACAGCCGGCGGGATGGAGTGGGGATGGAGGAGTCGAGCCGCAAGAGAAAGCGGCGGATCCTGTCCTGTGACACGTGCCGAAGGCAGAAGTGTCGGTGTGAGCTCGACGAGGAGTCTGAGGCGTGCGCGAGGTGTCGTTCGTTAAGGTATGTTTATGTTGATCGGCGTCTCTGTGTGTTGTTGGTTCTGGGCAACCGGCGGCTGTTTAAAACTCCAGGTTTTCCTCTTTGCAACGGTGACGAGGGCCTACCTTGCGACATGAGCATCCAGCCAATTGGAAGAGAAGTTTCGGAGAAGAGCTGATGAATGTAGGATCACTTGCACATGGAACGACAGCGGCGATACCCATTCAGTTGCTTCACGCGAGGCACCGACCAAGCTTGACGTGGAGGGGAGGTAATCCAATAACTTGATATTTCCCCTGTCCACCGTTTTATTCTATTTGCCTAATACGGCAATACTTACGAAGAAAAAAGCACCAACTAACTTTTTCACCGGCAGGTTCCGAAGCCTAGAAGCGTCCATAGTCGACCTCAAGGCAACGGTGCAGGCGCTAGCATCGGGAAGCCGGCCAGAAGTGAGAAGGACGTTGGCAGCAGGGCGCCAAGAGAGGCTCCATCAACCGCAGCAGCAGCAGCAGTCGCCGGCCGAAAAGAGCGTTGTTGACGATCATGGCTCTGACAAGGCCAGAGGCACGGAGGACGTCGAACCAGGGGACCGACATGTCTATTTGTCCCCAGCCGAGGTTGTTCGGAAAGTTGGAAGCCAGCTGAGTGGAGGCTATCGCAGAACATTCGATGTCCAAGCCGACGTCGTCTCGTCAGGCATTTTGGACGACAAGACGGCTCGTGATTTGGTTGCAGAGTGGGTCTTTTTGTTCAATGTTGCCTCAAGTACCTTTGACATGAACTTGGACGGGAGAAAAAAGAAATGACTATGCACGGAAAGACGGGCGGCGAATCATGTTGCGCCAACATGTTTGCCACAACTACACCGTAGTATTACAATTGCTAACTCTTGCTAATCCGCGTACATAGATTCGTCAGTCGAAGGCAGAATACGCTCCTGATCAACAGCGAAGCCGACCTCGCCCCAAAGAACAGGGACCTCCGGCATGCCTCGCCCTTTTTGCACGATGCCTGCTGTCTACACGCGATGCGCTTTTCCAAGCACAGCTCGTCGGTGCTGCACCGTCGCGTGTTTGAGCACGTGCGCTTGCAGATGGGCCAGCTGATGATTGCGAGCCCGTTGCCTTTGGAAGAGTTGACGGGCATCATGATTATGGCTTTATGGGCTTCGGCACCATCGGTACGTTGTGCCACACCTAGTAATTGCTGTTCTTGATTGTGGAAACAGGCGGGTATTAATGCGGAATGAGATGATGGAGAACTGATTGACTGATGCAATAAAAATGCAGGGGCCGGAATATATCGACAGCTGGCTGGTGAGCGGCCATTGTGCGCAACAGGCCATGTTGAGCATCAACTTCTCGGAAGTCCTGTCGCGGACGAAATCGAGAACATCGACAGATGAGGACCAAAGGGTCATGCGACTTTGGGCCAACACGTGTTTGGTAAATCTCCAGTGAGTCTCACCAGCGACGTTTGATCTTCTAAGTCGTAGACAGAAGAGAGAATGGAAAATGTCCGAAATAGGAGGATGGAAGTTGTTGGAACGAAACCCTACAGTGCATGTTGTTGAACCAACACATTAAAAACATGTTAAGAACAATGCTAATGCCGATCGATATGCAGTTGGGCCGCGACCACTAGTCGTCCGGCGACCGTACCGGCTGCATACCTCCAGCAGTGCAAGCTCCTCCTCAACTTTGAAAAGCCGACAATGCTCGACGCGATGGTCTACGCCGAGATTATGCTTTACATGATCCTCCAGGACAAGTTCGCGCAACGATCTTACTTAAGATGCGATGGCGCATGTGAAGAACTTTCGGCATGGAAGGCGAGATGGAATTACCTATTCGGTAAGTCCCGAACGTAGCCATCCCACGACGTACATTCAAACATGAGGCGCCAACCATGACGTGTCCACCCATTGCAATATCAGTGGGCATCATGTTACATGCTGACGTATCGATTGAACAGATCTTCCAGCCGCATCAACATTGAGGATAAGTTACTCAATAGCGTGGCTCATTCTCGCCAGGCGTTCACTCGAACACGACCAAGCCACCTCGGACCAAGACTCCTTGTCCAGCTCACCGAGACTTGCTCCGACAGACGTACGAGCGGGAAGAACACACAGAAACGCGGATTCGCAGAGCCAGAGCCTTTCCGACATGACGCAGTCGCGCGTGCGAGCCTTTGCGACAGACGTCGTCAAGGCCTTTGTCGACATGCCAGGTTCCCGCGCCGAGGAGCTGCCCGAGTTTCATCGCCTGTGTGTCGCCTACGCGATGCTCATCATATCCAAATACGAGCAAAGGTTGCCGTTGCTTGGAAGTGAGGGCGCGGGTGTGGGGGAGGGCGACGATGTCGTACTGGAGCTCCTGCGCGCGGCGCAGAGGCACAACGGCGTCCGGGGGAACAGCGCGCCGTCTGCGATTCAATTCGGACTGGAAAGGGCTTTGAAAAAGGTTGCGGAAAGAACGGAAGCCCGCGCCGGTAGCACTTCCGGTACTGTTGCCGGAGGCGACGGCCACGGGTTGCCGGATGTGGGAATGTCATTCATGAGAAGTGGGAACGTTCGGGGTCTGCCGGCCGCGGCAACAACAGCGACTTGGACACACCATCATCAGGACAATGTGCCAGGCCAACAACATGACCATAACCCGTCCTCTTTCACGGGGGCGACACTAGTCCCGGAGTTTGACGAGTCGCTCTCCTTGGAGACAATGGATATCTTCTTCAGCGGCGGCCACCTTGGGCTCGGCGACCACTCATACTTTTGACGTCGCGACTTTGCGCATTCATGGCAAGGCGTTGGATTGAGGAGGACATGCTTGGGAAATACATGAAAGAAAACCAGCAACTTTTCTGTAGGAATTTCCAGCCTTGAAAAAAATCAAGCAATAATAATGAGTATCGCACCTTTGTTCTTCTCGCCGGGTCCTTTGTCTTCTTCGCGGACCGGCTTCGGCTCCGGATAAGACACACCACGCACAGATCTCCCCAGAAATCGCCCTTTTCCTCGTGTATTGAACGCATTCCACTCATCAAACTGATGAGGTTGATCTGTACGCATTGGCGCACTCGGCTTCCTTGATTTGAACATAGCTCAAAAATCCCCGGACCTGCGCACTAGCGAGTCGTAACTGAGGATCGTGATCTGTCGTTTCTGTCGTGATTCTCTGGGGCACAGAGGCCTTCGGTACCGAGACATTGGAAAGATTCGTGTGATGTTAATTCATAATTGGCGCGTAGAAGGAGCGCAAACCTCGCAAGACTGGTGTGCTCTGTGAAGCCTCCAAACGACCCTCGTGATGGGATACACACTTTCTGAATACCCTTCTCCACCTCGCCTGAATACCCAGGAAGCCTTCATATACCCCCTCAATCCCGTTCCCGTCACCAGCCAGCAGGCGCCCTCTAGGTCGGGGGTCAGGTCAAACTGGCTGGGTGGTGGAGTGGTTAAAGGTCAACAATCAATTACGCCCACAGCCTACTCGACGACAGGTCACGAGTTCGAGTTCGATTCCCAGTATGAGCACCAAGAGATGTAGCCCTCAGTTCAGCACCGGGGGGGGAGGGGGTGAACTCTTTTTTCCCCCAGGGCTATCCAGGGGCACACCGGGATGATGCCAAAGATGTACGAATCACCCGGGTGTTTGTCGTTTGGGCGCCATTCCTGGTGACCGTTGGATTTCCGCTTGCGTCGGAATGAAGGCGAGAGCATTCTGGATCGGACAATCGCGTCGCACACGTCCTTTGTCTTGATGATCAAAATTCGAGCATTTTTGGAAGGCCAATTCGCTGCTTGACGGCTCGACAAGCGAATTGTCGGCATCGTATCGCGTGTAAGTTGACCGCAGGATTGTCGATCGCGACGAAACCTACTGCTCTGTCAATCCAACCGCGCACTAGACTTCAGGATGTCTGTGAAACAATACTAACGGATATTCAAAGTAAATAGCCCACTCCTGCTCTTCTCCAAAGGGGAAGTCTTCTGCGCCAGCTGCCCACTCAGCGGTGGCCGAAATGTCTTGCAAACGCCATCGAGGGCACGAAACTCTTCCAGTAGCTACAAACGTGTCTCGCCAACTTGCAGAAAAGGGCTCCCCATTCTTTTGCGCGTCTCCTTGGTTTCAGATTCGCACAATGCGCCTGAAAATGCCGGATTTGAACGCCAGTTGCGCCTCCGAGGGAGAATCAAAGGTTCTGGACGCCTCGTCAGGTTAAGACAGCGACATGTCACAAATGCGACAGAGCGCTCTCACAACCACCGTTCTTGGACCCGACTATCCGACACACTCGTTTATAGGTCGTTACAACCGCAGAAAGTTGGTTTCTAGGCGGGTTTCGTAGTTGACGGGCTTCGGTCGGCCGCTCGGTCGTTGGACGCCATCGTACGATTTTCGCATTTTGCCACCGCGCGATCTGCCATAGCTCAACAGCCTGGACCATCGTCGGCCGCATACCTCCCTATGCATAGAGCAACAGAGCAGAGTATAGCAAAAATATAGTCGTCACAGATCTGTAGTGACCAATCGACGGAAACTATGGCTTTGACACCAAATTGTATATCGTCGCCGGTTGAGCACTAGCCGGAGCTTCCATCCAGGTTTCGTCGTGTATAGTGTCGTGGAGTCGGTTTCGCCCGCAGTCTAGTAACCAAGCTAGGCAGCTATCTGTTCAATATTCAGAGCTTTGGTATGTGACATTAGTAGACTAGTATTTACTCACTGATTGTACCGGAGGATTGAATGATTCCACAAATACGTTGGGCCGACACCTCGTCCTCGAGGATGCAAAGGATCCGCTTTGACAGAACATGTAACACATAGTCTGTCTCTAGACATAGAGAAAATCGATAATCAGTGTGGATGCACAGGAGACATGGCAAAGAAAAAAATTGTTTGATGCGCGGCACCGGGTTCGAACCAGTGCTGTTTGGTCAGCGAAAATCCTTATTTGGGAGAGATATTGACCTACTTTCTGCCTTTTGCCGATGATGGGAGGGCAACGAGTTAACCACTACTCCAACCATGCTTCTGCAGCTGTCAGGCTGTTTGTTGTTAATTTTCCTCCCGTTTCTGAGGACCAAGTAGCTCGGTAGTCGTATATTCGAGAATCGAGAGCGCACGTGTATTCGCCTTGGGTGGCCGGTGAAAATTTCCTGTGTAATACTGAACCTTTCGTTTGTTGCCCGTTTGCAAGTGTCCGTTTTGGTGACCCAAATATGCCAAGACATAATCATCTAGAAGCTGCAAGATTCCGAAAGCCGAGTCTCCAGTTGACCACAACTCGAGATCGTGCGATTCGTGCCATTGTCGTCCGCCTACCGAATCCGCTTCGCTTCTCTTCGAAAGCAACAAATAAAGCGGCCAGAGAGGCCCGCAATCTGTAGTAAACCGAATGCCGATGCCAGTAGTGTCGTAAATCCTGGGATTTCTGGGGTCGTGTTGTTTTCGGCATACATTTGCTACGTGCGTATTTGTCGTTGCGGTGTGATTTGTGCAGGGGCAACGCGTATCAGAGTTGCGGTGTTAGCCATAGCCCACAAACGGTAACTTCCCTATCGCCGTTGACTTCGCAGTTTCCGTCTCTGACGTGCGAGACATTTCGGGTCTAGTCGCTTGCCCGGGTCTCTCCTTCCAAATTTCTGGCTCTGTCTGCAATGCGGAAAGAAGCCAAGAAGTGCGTACGAAGTCCGAGCCTGCGAGTTGCAATCGAAGAATCAACAAGCTTGTTCAATTCCCGATCTGAGAACTTTGTTCTTGAAGTCGACAAGTGCCTACTCGCAATCCCACATTTTTCTGACAGCAAGAGCGACTAAAGTCATCTATCGTCGCCCGGGATACTCCAGCTCGCTAGAAGCCATCAACGATAGCCAACTTGGCCCCGGGGACCAAGTTTTCTGTGCTTCGGACTGCTTGTAAACCATTCTGAGAGGATTGTGATTTGTTGCCAAACCCGAAGAGATAAAGTTTGGGTTGCTGATGCATGATCAAGAAGACAAGTTGCGGTCTTGGTTCCCGGAACACTGGCAAAGAACAAAAGCACGCCGACTTGCCTTGTCTGCAAAGTCAAGAGACTTTTCCGAGAGCCATCAAGAGGATTTGGAGCCATTTTGAAGGATGGGGGGTGTTTGTGAATCTGCACTAGAAGTGCCGAAAGAGGAATGAAACAAGACGCATCGACCGACTTGGCAGAAATCCGAGGGTCTCTTCTTGTCTTCTCAGCAACCAGTCAGTTGACTGTCAGCATGCCCTACGGTCTTGCGGTCCTACGGGATCAGTCTAGTGTCGAAGTGGATTGAGCCAAAGAAATGTGCGACCCGTTCTCCTGGACCGTGGAGCTGGACGTGCCATCTGGTCGCGACGAAGTCTGGTTCTAGATCAAAGTCCGAGGCTTTGGTAGTTGGCGGCTACAGTAGCTTGGTTGAGGGGCTTCCAGATCGGACCTTCATCCCTGCAACGAGTGAAAGCTTGGCTCTCACGAACACAGCCCCTCCACAAGTGCTGGTTGGGATCCGTACTTGTCTAGATCTGGATGGGCTGCACAAATGCACGTCTTCGGAGATAAGCTCGTCTTGGTAAGACTGTGCCAAAAACCATCATTTTGCGACGGGGCACGGTCGTGGGTCCAAAAGATGATGGAGGAGGTGGAGGAGGACAAAGCAGCGATACGTATACGTGACGACAACCTCTTTTTCGGGGTTGTGGTGACGCGAAAAGGTAAACTGTAGAAAGAAGATCAGCCTGGCAAGAACGGTTGCTTCACATGTTGAGATGAGGTAGTCAAGGTTGGTTTGAAGTGGAAGCTTTCCTCTACGCTCTCTCTCCTCTCAATTTGGACGGCGATTTTGCGTTTGAGTTTCTGCGCAAAGTACATAGAGTCTGCATCCTGATCAGTAATTTTGGGACGACCTGGTCGGACCGGCCAACCAGTCGTTACCCGGCCGTTTCGGCGAGAGAGGATCCCCCGCCCAATGCGTTGGGTTCATATGGAGTTGACAGGACCCGGAGGGTTTTCTTACTTTGCTATGTTCCCAAGTAAAAGAATAGCTAAGGATATCCTACCCTGTCCAATTGTGGGGTAACCCGGCCGAGACTCACTTGAACTGCATCCACAGCATCCGACAAGCTCTTTCTTTTAAGGTTTAATGAGCCACAAAAATTGGGCAAGCATGACTGGGCACCCCTGCGTCGTTTCCCAGCACCCCAAGCCCGCACCTGCCGAAGACGACAGCAAAGTGCCGGCCCGGGAAGCTAGAAAATATACCTCCTTCATGGGTGGCTCCACACCAATGTTCAAGGTCACACCATAGCTGGGGGAAGGAGGCAAGGAGATGAGGAGAGAGAGGAACACGGAAACCTAGAACGGTTAGCCTTTTTTTTTTTTTTTGAACGAGGTCACTTCACCGGGTCCCTCTCTCCAGGTTCTTCTTCCCGACTACTACGACAACCGCCCTACGCCATATCGACTCGGGTGTGCCCGGCTCTACTTCTATTCAGCCTTAACATGTCGTAAAACCTGCGACGTCCACGCTGCTAACACAAGCATCTGGAACTCCCAACACTCTGCCATCATGGGTCTCGGCGTTCTCGAGTCCAAGGCCTTGGACCAAGTGCCAGGTAAGTTGTCGTGCCCGCGCGCCCGTCTCCCCGCGCGGCTTCTTCTCAACGCTCTGCTCGCATTGTCCTCCTGTCATCCCAATTGCTGACGACCATCAAAACTCCAGGGACGACGCGCTACTTCGATGATCCAAACCGTCCCCAGACAGCGACCGATACTCATCACGGACTGAAAGTCGACGCGAGCGGTGATGTGCCCATCATTCTGGTAAGCAGCCGACGGGATAGCTTCTGCGACGGAGTCTGCGCGCGCCAGCTGACAATACATCCACCAGGTTCCTCAACCATCCGATGATCCCAACGATCCCCTGAACTGGCCCCTTTGGAAGCGAGACCTCATCACCTTTGTCCTCTCCATAACCGCCATCTTCGCGACCGCGCTCGGCCCTATCCTTGCGGCGAATACCGTTACGATTGCCCTCCTATTCCGTACTAGCTTCACCCGCATCGCTCTTCTCACCGGATACTTCCTTCTCGGAGTTGGTGCCGCAGCCATCTTCTTTGTGCCTTCTGCGCGTGTATGGGGCAAGCGCCATCTCTTTATTGTCGGAATATGCATTCTCGTTGCCTCGTCCGCGTGGGCAGGCTCTGTCGGCACGAGCTACAACTCGCTGCTTGGTGCTCGCCTTGTCCAAGGCATCGGCTGTACTCCCTTCGAGACACTCGTAAATGCCGCCGTCGGTGACCTGTACTTTGTCCACCAGCGCGGCTCCCGGATGGCCTTTACGAATTTGGCAGTCTTTGGCGGCGCCTTCTTCACCCCCATCGTTGTGGGCAAGATCACTCACAGCATTGGATGGTGGTGGACGTTTTACTTGGAAGCCATTTTTTGCGCCGTGTGCCTCCCCGCCGTGTTCTTCCTCTGCCCTGAGACGGCCTACCGTCGGGACACTGCGCTCAACACGGATATGGTCGCAGATTCCATCGAACTCACTGACAACAAGGCGTCTTTTGTCGACGGCCCGGGCAGCAGGTCCAGCGACCACGAGAGGCTGAACCCCACCTCAGCGCCGTATGGTTCAGGCCTGGAGGCTGTCCGAGGAGCGGGAGTTCGAATTCCAAAGAAGACATTCGTTCAGTCGCTGGCCTTGTTCGATGGCCGCAAAACGGATGAACACTACTGGAAATTGCTTCTTCGCCCCTTTCCGCTCTTCGTCCAGCCCGCCTTTCTGTGGGGATGTCTGATTCAAGGCACCATGATCGGTTGGACTGTCTTCATTGGTGTCATTGTTGCGGCTCTCTTCTTGGGACCTCCCTACTATTGGAATGAAGTCAACGCTGGGTACGCCTATGTCGGTGCTTTTGTCGGAGCGCTCGTCGGCTTCATCATCGCTGGTGCGTTCTCCGACTGGAGTGCCACGTTCTTGACCCGTCGCAATAATGGCATCTACGAACCTGAGTTTCGCATTGTCATGGTGCTCCCCATGTTCATCATCGGTTCCATTGGTCTCTACGGGTTCGGCATCACATCTGCTGGGCTTTCGGCCAGGGAGTACCACTACAGCATCCCGCTCATATTCTTCGGCTTTGAGGTTGCTGGTATGGTCATTGGGGCTGTGGCCAGCTCCTTGTACATTGTTGATGCCTACCGTGATCTGGCCATCGAAGGCTTCACTATCATGATTATCTTCAAGAACATCTTCAGTTTTGGTCTTACATGCAGTGCGTACGACTGGATCATTGCGGGTGGTATTAAGCCTACCATGATGGCCATTGCTAGCATTCAGGTCGTTGTTTGCGCCTCGAGTATTCCGATGTGTAAGTTGCCTATCTGTCACACCGTACGAAGCAGCGAGCTAATGACATGTAGATTTCTATGGCAAACGTGTTCGTGCTTACTTCCATCAGCACGATCTGCTGAAGTTGACTGGTTTGCGCTGAGCGACCAGCACCCTCTTTTCCTTGTTTATTCGACCTGATGCCCGACCTACAGAGATATCTATTCTCTTATCTGAAGGCAGGCATCTCAGAGAGCCCAGAGCCGTTTTAACGCTCATGTCGGGGCCGCGGACAAGCCATTGGGCGTTCAGATATACTCAACATCTATCTTTGTCCATAGTACCTACCATATAGCAATACCTAGTTCCGTATAACGATCTAAGAGGCCTCCCGATTCGTGTGAGCGTGGACCGTTTATCCTTACCGTTTTTGCCCGTTCTCTGCCGCTGGCTTATTGTGGTCTTGCTTCCGACGCTATGACAGTAGCTCCGATCTTCCGTGCATACAGGAGAGGCACCTTGGGTTCCCAGCGAACGGACGCGTATAGTTTGGCCGAGATGAACGTCTTCGCTCGGATGGACGCCCGCCTCCGCGTTGTAGGGCTTCGGGGGGGCTCTATGATGCCCGCCTCCAGGTTCCCCGTCTGGCACGTCAGTGTGCTGGATGGAAAGTATCGCGATCCATTTGGGGATAGTACGCATGTGCTGACTCGGTTCAAAGCAGGGGTATAATTCTTGTTGCTATCTAAACGTCCACTTCTCATTTCGATGCTTTGAGTGGGCCATTAAGGATGTATGTGTTTTGTGTGCTATGCTATGCTGCCTATGCTATGCAATTCGTGCTCGTGTCCAAGACATCTCCCTTCTCTCCATGAAATTGCTGGTTCGCCGTCCAGAGGCGCGATGCTTTACAAGAAATCAAACAAAAATAGTATTGCAGCAAAAAAAACATGGTATGCGTATTTGAGGGGGGTATATGTCAAACATATCGTAGAAGGGTTTTTCTTTACTTCATATAGCAAAACAACATCATTCTCAAACAAGAATCAAAACATACGTGGTGTGTCCCATCCGACAAAAGGGGAGGGGGGAAGAAAAAAAGAAGAAAATCGCACAACGCTTCGCTGACATCCATTCATACACATCATTTTTTTTGTCGTAGATTCTTCAACCGGTCAGCTTTCTCCACCAACTACTCCGCGGCGTAGCCGTCGCGTCAGAGAACATGGCCTGCCGACGCCGCTCGTCGCTCCCCTCGGAGCCGCCACCGCCGCCTCCGGCACCTCCACTACCGCCGTACCGACGCTCGCGCTCTTCGCGACGGGCTCTGCGGCGGCGATCGTCCGCCTCGTCGGCAGTAGCGCCGTCCTCGTATCTGGCTCTGCGACGGCGGTCCCGCCGTTCGCGACGAGCCTCGTCTTCGGTTTGCGGGACGGCGTCCGTCTGTTGTCCACCGTCATCCGGAGGCGGGCCGGCGTCGGTGTGTTCCTTGACCCAGGATGAAGTTCCCGAGTGGGGCCACGCCGGCTTGGCTTCCTCATTGCGTCTGTAGCGGTGATGCGAGGAATGCATGCCTTCGTCCCCGGACTCCCGGGTCCTGCGGCTGGAGCGGTGGTGATACATTTCTTCCGCGTCGGTCCCTTCGGCAGCAGCACGCGCAGCACGTCTAGCTTCCTTCCTGGCTCTGCGAGCTTCTTCTTCGTCCATTGGCGGCGGCGGCGCCGCTTCGCGATCGCGGGCCTCGCGGGCTCGTCTGCGTTCTTCCCGCGCTGTGCGTCTAGCATCCGCATCAGCCTCCGCTGCCGCGGCGGCTTCACGCTCCTTCCTAGCTCTTCGCCTTTCGGAACGCTCAGCCTCTCTGTCTTCGGCCATTCTCCGTTCCTCTTCCTCACGTTGGTCACGGTGTCCGCGAGAGCGAGCCGCGCGCCGTTCTGCACGTCTCAGCTCCTTATCCTGTTGCTTCCGTGCTTCGGCATCTTCTTCGTCTCTCCTGCGGCGGCGCTCCCGCCGGGCTTCTTCCTTGGCGGCACGTCGTGCCTCTTCGGGGTCCGGCTCAGCAACCTCGGCCTCAGCCGCCTCGGCATCCCTGGCTGCGCGACGAGCACGGCGAGCAGCGCGGCGAGCCTCTTGGTCCATGTCGGTCATCGCTGCGGGGTCAACTTCGTCTGCATCGGCGTGAGATCGTTGACGGCGTTCGCGCCTGGTCTCATCATCGGTCGCATAGGTGTGTCGTCTTCGCAATGGGTCCGGACGCTCTGTCTTGGGCGTCCTAAGGCCACTGAATAAGCCTCCCAGGCCCTTCTTGGCACTCGAGCTGGATCGTTTCATTGGTGGTGGCTCGGAAGGGCCGTCGGGGTCGACCATGACAAGGTCGTCGTCTTTGCCGTATCTGGATCGTCGACGTGACGACTTGGGAGGGCTGATGTCCTCACCATCCCCATTGGCACCGACCATGACAATGTCTTCATCAACAATATGGTCGCGCTTACGGCGTCTGCTGCTTGACTTGTCGACGCCGAGGACCTTGGCGGCTTTGGAGGACATTGGAGGTGGAGGAGCTTCCTCGGGAGGTGGGGATACCAAGCCACTCGCGTCGACCGAATGACGACGGGACGGCCTGTGTCGCCGGTCCCGGGTGGAGGTCGTCCGGGAAATGGGCGGGGTGCTGAACATTGACATAAGTTTGGGCCGTGCCGGTGTCTCAACGTCTTGCGCGGCACGGTCGCCCTTGCCGGAACTTGAGCCCTTGGAGGAAGTCTTGACTTTTTCCTCGTCGCCGTAAGCGTGTTTCTTGTCCCGTCTTTCGGATTTTGACTTGGATTTCCGCTCTCTATCGCGGTCACGGTCGCGGTCCCGGTCGCGGTCTCTCTCCTTCTCGCGAGGTGAAGCCGACCACATACCCCACGAGGAACCTTCTCGGTTGATCTTGGCCCGGTCTCTCTTGCTTGACTTCGGCTCAGGTGGAGGTGAGATGGGCTCTTCTTCGGCGATGGCTTCCTCCTCAGGCACGGGGCCTTCAGGAGCTTCAGGGACAGCCGGAGGAGGTGGTGGAGCTGGTGGAGGAGGGACGTCTTCAGCGAGTATGTCCCTATCTCTGTTCTTCTTACTCTTCTTTTTCTTCTTCTCCACTGGCATTTCAATCACTTCGATGATCTCGTTCTCATCCTCCTCGACAGGGAAAGCTCCAGGCGGCTCCGAAGACTTGTTCTCGTCAGCTGGTTCCTCAACGTCGACTAACGGTGGCTCCTCGACAACAGGAGGAGGCGGTGGAGGCGGCGGCGCGGGTGCAGCTTCGGCAGCACGCTTCTTCTCCTTCTTCAGTCGCTTTCTCTCTTCCTTCGACAAGACGACTGGGGGAGGTGGTGGTGGTGCGGGTTCCGGGTCCTCGGGTGGAGGGTCCTCCGGGGCCGGTTCTTCTGGTGCTGGCTCCTCAGGGGCAGGTTCCTCTTCAACGGGCTCAGGTTCGTCTTCTGGCGGCGGGATCGGTTCGAACGCTTTTAATCTGTCAGTAATCTTGCTTCCTTTGCCCTTACGAGCCGTAGACGGTTGCATCCAGGACAGGGCATCGTTGTTTGTGGCGGATGAGGTAGTCGTGTCATTCCAGCCGAGATTCGCACCTTCTGCTATGCGGAGATGAGTCAGCAGTGTAATCTCAGGTGACGCCCATTGAGGCGTTTTATTTCCAATAGGCTGGGTGAGACTTGGTGGTGTGGTGATGTGAAGGGAGATTGGCTGCGAGCCTGAGGCCACATACCTTTCGTAGACTTCTTAGTGCCAATTCCCCAGAAACTAAAGGCATCGTTGGATGGCTTCGGTTCCGGCGCCGGGGGTGGCGGAGAAGGAGCAGGCTCCGCAGGCTCGGGATCGGCCAGGAGCTCCTCAATTTGGTCCTCGGTCAACTCGATATCGGCCAGCTCATCCTCCTTGTCGATGTCCTCAACTGGCTCCGGCTCCGGTTCCTCTTCCTTCTCCTTTTCCTTGTCCTTGCTTTTCTTGTCCTTCTTATCCTTCTTCTCCTTCTTTTCCTTCTCTTTTTCTTTCTTCTTTTCTTCTTTGGACTTGGACTTGGACTCTTTCTCCGACTTGGAGCTTTTCTTCGCCTTCTTCTCCGCTGCTTCTGCTTCCTCTCGCTCACGTGCCGCCTGCTCCTCGGCTTCCAAGGCAGCAGCTTCTTCGGCTTCCTTAGCGAGTCGCTCTTCCTCCTCAATGCGAGCGGCTTCCTCAGCTTCGGCTTCCGCAGCAGCTTGGGATGCAGCAGCGCGCTCGTCAATCGATGCCTTGAGAGTGTCGTAAACGTCCTGGTCCTTCTTGGTCAACTTGCCCTTCTTGAGCTTCTTGGCCTCCAAGGCAGCGAACTGCTCCTCCTCATCCGCAATCTTTGCAGCCTCCTCCTCCTCGATTCGTGCCTTCTCGGCCGCCTCAGCTGCCTCCGCTGCCGCCGCCTCCTCTGCTTCTAGAGCAAGGCGTTCTTCTTCTTCCTTGGCTGCAGCCTCTGCGGCGGCGGCAGCTGCCTCCTCTTCTTCCTGGGCTATCCGCGCTGCTTCTTCCTTCTCAGCCTTCTTCTTTTCTTTCTCGAGCTTCTTGAGCTCTTTCTCGCTCAGCTTGGGCTCTTTCTTGGACTTCTCCTTTTCCTTGTCTTTATCCTTGTCCTTGGATTTGGACTTGGAAGAGGTCATGTCTCCCCAAAAGCTGGTTTTCTCTTTCTCAGGTTCTGCTTCTGCTACAGGCTCAGCCATGTCCAATGAGGGAGGGGTGGGAGCTTCCGGTGGAGGGTCGGCGAGTATGTCCTTACGGTTCTTAGACTTCTTCTTGGAGGATCCCCAGCCGGCCCAGTCATCGTCGTCAGCTTGGTCTTTGGTCTCCTCGACGGAATCCGGTTGTACGGAATCCACGTTGGGCTCCTCGTCCATGATTTCAATGGGCTCGTTCTTGGATTTGTCCTTTTTCTTCTTGGACGAAGAGGTTCCCCAGAAGTCATCTGTGGGCTCCTCGATCGCATCGGGCTTCATAGAAGCGCCTTCGTCGGCGTCGGCTCCCTTCTTCTTCTTGTCTTTCTTACCGCCGATGTTCCATGAGCTGAAGAAGCCGCCGCCATCCAGGGGGTCGGCAATGTCTGGCGCGGCCGGATGGGCTTCCTCGGCAGGGGTAGGCTCGTCCTCCCCGCCAAACTCAGCCAAGGCCATGGCGTCCTTCTTTTTCTTCTTCTTGTCCGACTTGCTCAAACCAGCCCAGTCATCTTCTTCGACCACTTCAGCCTTCGGTTCGTCGGCTTCCTTGTCGGCCTCCTTGCTCTTCTTCTTCTTTTCCTTCTCCTTGTCTTTGTCCTTGTCCTTGTCCTTGTCCTTGTCCTTGTCCTTCTTGGAAGAAAGACCCCAGATGCCCCAAGAGTCGTCTTTGGACTTCTCAGCTTCGGCCTCCTTCTTCTTCTTTTTGTCCTTCTTCGAAGTAGCAGCGGCCCAGAAGTCGTCGTCATCCTTCTTTTCAGGTTCCGGCTCCGCTTCCTCGGCTGGGGGATCAGGCACAGGTTCTGGTACAATTTCGGGTTCGGGTTCGGGATCCGCCAATTTGCCCTTCTTCTTCTTTTTATCCTTCTTGGAAAGGCCGAAGCTTGCCCAGTCGTCTTCCACCGGTGGTTCTGGCTCTGGATCAGCAGCGGGAGGTTCGGGCGCAGGTTCAGGAATGGGTTCCGGCTCGGGATCGGCAGTCTTGCCCTTCTTCTTCTTCTTGTCCTTTTTGGAGGTTCCCATTATACTGGCCCAAAGGTCATCTTCTGCTGGCTTCTCCGGTTCAGGCTCTGGCTCCGGTACTGGCTCCGGTTCCGGTTCCGGTTCCTTGGGAGGTTCAGGTTCGGCAAGAAGGCCCTTCTTCTTTTTCTTGTCCTTTTTGGACGTCATGGTACCGAAGCCCCATGGGTCGTCCTTCTTCTCTGGCTCTGGTTCTGGTTCAGGGACTGGAGGTGGCGGAGGAGGAAGCGGCTCGGGCTCAGGTTCAGCTTTGCCCTTCTTCTTCTTCTTGCTGGTTTTAGTTGAGAGACCCCATCCACCAAAGTCGTCCGTAGCTGCTGCCGCTTTGGCGGCTTCCGCTGCTTTCGCCGCCTCTTCGGCTTCTGCTGCTTCTTTAGCTGCTTTCTCTTCAGCCTCTTTTGCCAATCGTTCCTCCTCTTCCTTGCGAGCTGCCTCTTCCGCTTCGGCGGCGGCAGCGGCCTCTGCTTCGGCAGCAGCAGCAGCAGCAGCAGCAGCTTCGGCGGCTTTAGCAGCTTCAGCCTCAGCGGCCAGAGCGGCGGCAGCCATCTCCTTCTTCTTTTTCTTCTTCTGTGAATTGGTCATGCCTGCGAAAGGGTCAACGGGCTCCGGTTCCGGCTCTGGCGCTGGTGCGGGTTCCGGCTCTGGTTCCACCACCGGGGGAGGCTCGGGTTCAAGGTCGACGATGCCGTTCTTCTTCTTCTTTCCCGATGATGTTCCCCAACTCCAAGGATCCTCTTGGGCAGCTGGCGGATCGGGCGCTGGCTCAAGGACTGGTTCAGGCGCCGGCTCCTCCTTCTTCCCCTTCTTCTTACCAAGTCCCCAGGTATCCCAGATGTCATCTTTTGCCTCTTCTTTAGGCGGATCTGGTTCCTTCTTCCCCTTCTTGGTGGTACCGCCCCACCCACCCCATCCGTCGTCTGCAGGTGTCTCCTCCTTGACTGGTTCAGGAGCCTTCTCCTCTTCGACCGCATCCCAGATGTTGGCCTTCTTCTTCTTCTTGTCTTTCTTGGAAGTCGTAGTACCGAAGCCCCACGGGTCATCTTTCTTCTCTTCTTCCTGCGGCGGGTCGGGTGCCGGTTCCGGGTCAGCTGATGTATCGTCCCCAAAGGAAAACCCGAGCGTCGTGCTTTTCTTCTTGGCCTTCCCGCTTTTGGCGCCCCATGGATTCGAATCGACGTCTTCCTTTGCCTCTGCTGGCGTACTCGTGGCTGCATTTTTGTTAGCGCCAGAACAATCCCACGTGTTCCCTAGTCCCGTGCCTGATGTTGTCCAATTTGATGCCCCCAATCCCCAACCAAACCCCCCTGACTTTTTGGGTTCCGTTGTGGCGAAATTGATGTCTAGCGATCCGTTGCCGGTGCCTATGTCGTCCAATTTGATTTCATCAAAGGAATCAGGTGCCGGTTCATCGGCCTTTTTGCCCTTCTTCTTGGATTTCGTGGTTGAGAAGCCCCAGTCATCTTCCGGGGGCGGATCGTCTGCCGGAGGTGGCGTCTCTTTGTCGCCCCCGTCGCCGTCGCCCGCAGCTCCGCCGTCGTTGCCTGCGTCACCGCCCTGGTCGCCTCCATCGCCAGCACCTTCGTCCTCTTTCTTCGAGCCGTCGTCGTCGTTATTGTTGTTGGCAGCTGGCGCCTTGGCTGGCGCCGCCTTCTTCTTCTTCTTTGCTGCTTGCATGAATCCTTCCTCGGAACCGAAGTCGATGAGAAAGTCGCGTGTGGGGTCGCTGAATATGGCGTCGCCGTTACGTCGTTGTCGCTGTTCTGTGTTTGATGTTTGCGGTTGGGTGAAGAAGGAAAAGTCCGATGGTCGTCGACTTGCAAAACCGCCGGTGTTCGTCGGGTCCATGACTTGCTCGAACGACTCAGACGGTTCAGAGGGCGAGTCAAATCGTCGCAACCATCGCGGGCCGCATTCTGGTGCTTTCAACGGAGTTGAGATGTTGCATGTGGTTTTGAGGGGTTGTCGACGATGGGATGAAATCTAGGGATGTCAGCGGATCAGATTAGCTCAGAGGTTCGTCTGAAGGCATGTGTTAGTGGAATGGAGGGGGTGAGACGGCGTCATGCCCCTCACGTCCCCCGACTCCATCCAAAAGCTTTCCGGACCAGCCATGGCAGCGAACGGTAAGCCGTTAGACTTGGGACGAGCGCTGAGGCGTCCAGGCTGGAACGGCGCCGGCGCGCACAAAATTCCAGAGTAGATAGGAATTGAAGAAAACCATGACGGCAGACGAAAAAGTCTCGGGTCGTACCTGAGCATTGTGCGAAGCGGAATCCCAGGCGCGGGCGATCATGCGCAAGCGGATGCGCACATCTTCCTCAGCCCAGCCAGTCGTCGATTGTTGGGTTGACGTCCATCGGTATGCGCCTTCTGGCCACCGTAATGGCGAGAACGTGGAAACCGCGGCCGCAGCCATGTTGAGAAGTTGAGCTCGTGTTGCTACAGCTTGGTGTGAGAATCATGGAAGCTGAAACGATTCGGAGGAGAGAAACGGCTGAAGACGGTATATCGGGTGTCGCTCGTTGGTTTTTGTCGTAGTCGTCGTGGTCGTAGCAGCCGTTGTACGCAGTGTAGCGGGAAAGCAAGCGGGTTCGCGTTGGCGAGAGGAGGGGGCGGGTCGATGAAACGAGAGTTGAACAGGATGTGGGAGGAAATCGCCTGCAGATATAAATCTCCAGACTATGTATTCGTACGACCGAGGCGAACTGAGACAGGTGGTGCAAGTCAGTAGGGAAGAAAAGAAAAAGAAAAAAAGAAAAAAAAAAACTCCAGGGACTGCGAAGATAGTGGGAAGATGTAACTGCCCAGGCTGGGAAGTGGGATGGTCGGCTCAAGTGGCCGCCGAAGAGACGGAGCACTCTGCGCTACGCGGCGGGCGGCGGGCGGCGCAAGGGACCTGGGATCTGGGGGTGATGAAGGGTAAGGTGAATTGGGGGCAGGGAAGAAGAGGGACCCGTGGACGGATAAGATATGGCAGGGCAGGGAGAGGAAATACACTCGCCTGTTTCTTCTTGTTCTTCTTTTTCTCCCGCCTTTTGGCTACAGGTATGTTCCTGGTCCCCTGCTCAGAGTTGCCGGAGGTTTGGACGATAACGGGCCAAGTCGAAGCGATAGCAGGGATGTAGCTCTTGGTGTCACAGGCTCACAGCTTGAGAAAGTCGCCGCCGTCGCGTCTGATCGCCGAGGGAATAGTCCTGGATTGGAGCTGTCCTAAGAACGAGGTCAATTCGCCTGCTTCATTATTGTATTTGACCACGAATTTCAAGCCGTTCCTATCACTCTTTTTTCTACCAAGATGACTCTCCCGAGAGGAGGTGAGGTCGAATCGGCCGCATGCAAGAAAGGATCAATAGGAACGCTGGATGTGACCCGGCATAAAAGGAGAAGAGGGTGAAAAAAATCATCTCTTACAAGCCACTTCCTTCACAGGGAGCCAATGGGTCGGCGCGTTGACGCAAGATCGTCGCGGCGAAGGCGAATAGGCGGATGGATGTGGTTGCAGACCGCCAGATATCTTGCAGGAGGCATGCAACGAAGGCCACAGCCTGCGGCCGGGATTGGTGATATCCTCGAGGTCGTGCTTTGCTTGGTTCCGACTCGTGAGCTGAGCAAAGTATTCCGTACTTGTTCGGAGATGCGATTCGGGTGGTGGTGTGAGTAAGACGTCGTTGTGCTATTGTCGAGCCCGGGCCCGGCCAGCCAGACGTTGAGGCAATTGACCGACGGGATGTGTTTTTGTGTACGAATAGCACGCTTGCCTACTATGCAATTAGTATACAATATGTTACCTTACTGTACTGTACGCCTTCTCTGCCCTCTTCTTCAGCAGCTCGTTCAGAAGTTTTCGCCCTGTCGTGCAACACGAGGACGACGACGCAAGAATAGTAGAAACAGATTGGAGAAACATGAGCGGCGGCGAACGCCTTGTATACAGGGGGAGATGTACACAAGAAGTAAGGCAAGACAAGAGTCAACAATCCAAATGAGGAATACAAGGGCAAGGCAAGGTAGAGAGAGAGAGAGAGAGAGAGAGAGAGAGAGTCTGCAGACAGAGAAAGACAGAGTCAGTACTCGGTACCTTATGTGAGGTAAAGGTAAAGCGAGGTAAAGGTAAGGCAGGACGGAAGAATAATTATGGATATTGATGCTGTATGCACGTCTATGCGATCCATCCGCCCAGCCATGTCCCATCCATCATCCATCAACCATGCTATCAGGACCAATCCGCATGCTTTTCATTGCGTGAAGTCTCAGTCTCCCCGTCGTTGCTCCTCCGTCTCCTCCGTCTGTCTGGACTCTGGTGGTGTTCCCGCCCCCATTGCTCGCCGCCTCTTCATCTCCTGGCCCGCTCCGTATGTGTGTGTATGTGTGCGTGTGGGTGTGCGCGTGTGTGATGTACATGGCGATAGATCCCGAGCAACGGCATGGCCCATGATGGGTACCTTGGGTGCTTAGCCCAGATGGGGTAGGAGGTGTCACGGCAAGCCGCAAAAGCGCAGCAACCCACCCACCGACAGTACAACTTCAAGGTACTTTATTTACTCTGGGTGTCTGCAAAAAGGTGGTGATCCCTGGCAGTGTGGTCGGTTATGATGGGCGGCTTCGGCGCCTCATTGGCCGAGTTAGTGTGATATGGACTGTCTCGAGAGACGGCACCCCCTGCACGCCGGAGTCGTTTGACTCAATTCACACCACCATGACCCCTCCCTCCTCTTCAGCCTGCCGCCCAGGTGATGCCATTTCTCCAGGGTGCCGTCTGCTTCAAGTGGGCATCTGGGCAGCACACTCTCTGAGACCATACACAATAGGTGAGTCTTGGTATGCGATGCGGGAGCCACGAGGGCGGACCTAGAATGTTAGGTAACCACGAGGTCAGCAGGTCCTGGATATCAGGTGTGTCTTGTTTCCATTCCGTGTTGAACAAGCAGCGGAATCAGGTCGGACAGAAGTTGAGAAGTAACCACCTCAAGGCAAGGGAGACGGATGATGAGGGAGGAAGAACCGTAGAAAAGGCACCGGCCCCGAGGTAAAACGCCCTTGCCGCCACCAGCTTAGCACCAGGTGCGTCCTCACGCGGGATACAACGATACCTTCTAGTTCCTTACCTAAGCGCCCTTCCATCCATCCACCGATATCGTCACTTTACCTCTTTCTCTTTTCAAGGCAGTCCTTAGCTCTTGCGTAGAATTGCATCCCAATCTTCGCACAGACAAGTGCAGATAAACAATGGAGCGAGCAACTTTCCAACCCTGGAGTAATGGAATAAGGCAATAATAGTAAGGTATCGTGGTTGACAAAACATGTTAGTAAACAGCTCTTTCTGGACTCGGGTTCCTAGACTAACAGGACCCAAGGACCCTACGCACGCCTGTGTTGGCTCTCTTGATCCCTCTTCCCTGCTACGAAAAAACTCACCACCACCACCACCACCACCACCTCCAGCCTTTTCCCGCTTGGGTCTTCGCTGCTGCCACCACATGTTAGTTTCCTTCTCGAAACTGCGATCTTCCATGCTATTCACGATGACGCGCCGCTGTCAACCACACGACTTCAACACCACCCACCGCTCCAACCCACAGATAAATTTCTTCCAGCTCGACTGTCACAATCAACTCCAAGTTCTCCGACTGCTCAAAATTCATGTGTATCACACAGTCCCCGTCAGAACAAGCCCTTATCCGGTAACACCCGAACGCCCTTGTAGTTGACTCTCTGTGCACCAATCTGTCTGCCTCTTGCTCAAATGGAATTTCTCCCAGTCATATCCGTACGGCCTGGTTGCTTGCTGGTCGAAGGTCTATCGCCTAAACCGCTCACTCGCGGAGGTACATGGCCCTCCAGCCACTCGCCCCCGGTTGCTCATGTACCTCCAAATTAACACCAACCCCGCCAAGCAAGGGGACCATTGAGACTCAAGTTTCTCAACTCCCTTACCCATTTCCTACGACCTGCGGCATACGGGATTGGGCATTGAAGAGAGGGTACGGAGTATGCAGCCATGCCATTGAATTTATTGATGACAGGCAGGCGCGGCCTACGCAGTATGCATCTGCATCTGAAGGGCAAAGCATGGAATGCAGGCGCATCAAGCTCGCGGGGGAAAGCGAAAAAAGCGGCAACACCATGTCACCATGTCCATCATCATTCGGTTCCTACGCCAACTTACCACATCCAGACCCCTTCCCTCCTGTCTGGACCGCCGTCGTGACGGAAGCGGGACGAACCCAAAGTCAGGGAGGAAAAGGGAGAAGCCGCCGTCACTCACAACGAGACGTTGCCATGCGGACAACGGCTCGGCCAGCCTGCGAGGCTCTAGCATCGACGCACCAGGCCGTGAGGTATCGATACATTACCGGCTGGGCAGCCATGCGCCAATTAGCATGGAACGCCCTCTCCTAGGCCTGGTATTCGCACTTTTCAAGTACACGAGGACCCCATCTGGCATCTGTACGATGGCCGATGGGTGTCCAGTCATCGTCGAACCAGCGCCAGGGCCGCCAGCAGCTTGCATCTCGACGGGTGTGCTCGCAGGGCCGGCCACTGGGCTGCGGCGCTGCGCTGCGCATCGGGAGCTAACATGCCCTTCATACACATCCCAAGTCTGGCCCTGTCTGAGGAGATGCGACTGCATCTGTGTACTGGATCATTGCGTCTACACGCGTCCCACCTCCATCATCGCATGGCGCATCTCTATCCACTCATCCCACGAGTGTCGCCAAAAGCGGTATGGCGGCTCCCTCACCGCTTCAACTTCTCAACCCACTTCTGGGCGAACTTCGCACCAACCAGCCTCGCTGAAATATCATCTCTACGGGTATCCGTAGGCTTTGGGCCTTTCGGAATGCCGCAGATTTCCATTGCCCGTCTTCGATGTCAATATCAATGACGGAAGAGTCGAAGACGGGCGAGACAGCCTCAACACTAAACAAGGAATGTGTCAGTTTGGGGTACCCGGCATATCTCAGGTAGAAACCCAGAGGAAACGATGCGCTTGTGTGACGATAATAAAGCACAATGGACACCACTTGAGGAACGGCGTCAGGCATGAATACAACAGAATATTGCCTCTCCCTCATGGCCTGCCGGCTTAATCTCCAGCATCTATCGACTGACACCTGCGTGTCAGACGGCGTAGACGCTTTAGGACGGACTACGAGCACCTCACGGCTTCTTCTGGCGGTCAGACCTGAGCTGGCCACAGTTGGCCACCGGGACGACGACCGTCATCCATGGCCTTTGGTCAGGTTGAAACTATGGGTCAATGGGGAAGACAACGCAGCAAAATGCAATATCACTGACTTGCTTAGCTGCAGATGCGACTCGTTCTGGTCCAGAACCCTGTCGACGCTTTCGGAATCAAGACTTGGAGTGCGAAGTGCCAAAGGCACTTTATTTCCCTCGGTGATGGCTATTGAGTCATCGGCTGAATTACGCTCGCGGTGCAGTACGGATTTTTGAAGTACTACCGTGGAATTATTCTTCTTCTCGACGATTCTCCTATGAGTGAATGAACGCCTCCCGAGTTCAAGTTGAAGGATGATCTTCGGCTATACCAGCATCCATCAGAGCATCAGCTACAGATTCCCCCCCGGATGTGAATTTGTCCAGCAAAGCCGAGGACTTGCATCAGACATCTGCCCAAGGAAGCTCGATAAGACCGCATGTTCCTTCTTCTGCCATGTCTCAGGTCGCGTGACGTTGATTCGAGGTAGTCAAAGAAAATCGTGCTCTAGGACAAGCGGACAATTCGACATCGGTCCAAGTATTACCACAGTTGCCATAACCATGGATGAGCTACCGAACGGTCTACAACCGGTCGTCCGCGTTGTCCTACTCCAGTCTCCGGCTTCGAGATCAGTCTGTGAACCGGAGAGGTTCAGTGGCGGCTTTGAGATTCAGCAGCATCTGCAAGAAAAGCTCATCTCGACAATAACGTACCGCATCGCAATAATAGTAATAGCCGCAACCGCCACACTTCTTGAGTTCCTGTCCTTCCTTGCCACAGGCTCCACACGGCCGAGTGTCTTTTTGCTTGTCAATTCCATCAGTGTACCTGACGAGCTCTGTATTCATTCGGCAAAGTTCCTTCAGTTCCATGGGGAAGCCCTAACGCAAACAAATCTGTCAATAAGCCGCCATTGAACAAGACGATAAGCGAGAGTATAGGACGGACCCGACAAGTTTCCAGTTTCTCCACGTAAACGCCCTCCTTCCAATAAGTCCCATCCAAGAACCTCTTGGTTATGGTATTCAAGACTGCAACGGTGTGTCCAGGCATGAATCTACGGCGGTCAACCTGCGCATTGCCATCTAAATGAAAACGGACGTGGAATACCCAGTCCTTTTTGTCGCGACAGACCAGGGTTAGACGGGGAAGGGTTTCGACTCTCATGATCTCACCAAAGAGACACACACCAGTTTGTCGTATTGCGGTAGAGGCCTCCATCTTCGGCGACCTCAAATTCGTCGTCACCCTGGAGAAAGTGAGGAAAGTAGTAGAATTCTTTGATGAATTCATCGTAAGTAGGCATGATGTCCTCTTCTTAGGTGGTCTCTAGCAACACCACTTTTGCGATTACGCTTGCAAGTTGCAGACAACCTCCATGGTGATGAGGCGATGCGCCGCCCCATGCGGAGGGGTATTGATGCTGAGCATCAGCCACAATGGAACCCAACCACCGATGGCTTATCTGTATTCAGGGGCCAAGGTCGGCTTCTCTTTTATCCCGGGAGGGTCGTGCCTCAACTGGAGCTCCCACAACTTACGCCGTACGGGATACAAGCAACTCATTCCGAGGCACTGGCTCCTTTGCCAGGGGTTAATAATAGTATCACCACCCGTTTCAGCTTTCCCCCATCCTTCAACATCGGAGTGCCATTGGTATCGAAACCGTAGCAGGAAAAAAACAATCCAGCCCTAAAAGGAGTTGGCCCTGGTCCATTGTCGGGCTACCAACTACCTACGGATACGGAATATGCTTACTATTTTGCTACGAGCGTCAGCAGGCTCAGACAAGCCTCAAAATCTCACGCGAACCTCTGCTGGCCAATAGGCCCAATACCAGCCGATCCTTGGAGCATTCCTGGAGCTTGTTTGCTTGCTATTCCCTGCACTAGCTTGCTAGATAGCCATCCGTGTTTGCTGACCTTTCCAGCGGTTCCAATCCTTCGGTTGACGTCGTTTCCTTTTGGGAGGATTTATTTGCCTGTTTGCTTCAGCCTTCAACCTCTCCACACAGACAAACTTCGGCATCAGATGTTAGTGCATCCATCCATCCATCCCTCTTTTTTTTTCCCAATTCTTCATGTCCGTGGTGGGAAAGTCGGGACAGCCCACCGCACCCCGTGTGGGAACAGACCATCAGACGAAACAAAAGACGTCCTGCCGCTCGCCCCCTTCTCTCTCTCTCTCTCTCGCATGACGAATCATCTATCCCTTGAATCCTTACCTTTCTTTCTGTCTGTTCCACGGAAGGAGAACGTGGTTCATTATAGAGGACAAGGTTTTATCTCCTCCCGTTCCGCCACGTCCCTCGAGACAGACAAGAGAAAAGACGCGAACCCCAACCCAAATCCCGCTGATCCTGAACCAGACAGGGAAGCAAGCTGACTGAGATATCGGTCTCTTGAGGCGCACGACAGGCGACATTGCCACCTTTGTGCAACTTTTTTTCTTTTTCTTTTGCTTGTCTGCATAGCTACTTTTCAATTGTTTCTCAGCCGACGGTTCACCAGCTCCTGCTGTCCAACGGAGCTGTTCAACAAACCCCCTACGAGAGACAACACTCCGTCGCACACGGCCCCGCACACCGCCATCGTCATCAAACCTCCGGGGGTGTGTACCACGACCACCAACGGGACCTCCGAACGCCTGACACCGATACCGACCACCAAGACAAATAATCATCTACATCACAAAATAAGGAAAAAGGATGCCAGCCCACCACAATCTCACGATCCGCATCCCCCTCCCCAGCATCCTCCCCCCAGAAGCCGTCATCGAAACCCTGCAATCCCAATCCCCCGTAATCCGCCATCAACCCCTCGTAACGCGCTACGAAAAGGTCCCCGTGCCCCTCGACTCCGTCGTCTCGGACGCCCACTTCCTCGAAGACGGCTCCCGCCTAGCATGCTACAAAATCTACGAAAAAGTCACCGTCGTCCCCGGCGTCAAAAAAGAAATCAGCTTTCCCGCCGTGCTGCAGAATATCCCCAACGGCCTGCGGTCCCGCGCCGAGGCGCCGGGCGGGGTGCGGGTCTGGTCCGAGTGGCTTGTCGTGCCGAGGCCGGAGGAGAGGTGGCGCGGCGAGCACGGGGGCAAGTTGGAAGGGTATGTGGAGGGGGATTATGATCTTGTCGAGACGACGAGGGTGGAGACGAGTCGGATGTTGATGCCGCTTGTCAAGGGGCAGATGGAAGGGGCGCATCGGGATATGGTGAGTAAGATGCTTGATGAGGTTGCGCAAAAGGTTGGGAGGGCGAAGATGTAGATGACCGTCGTCTTTGGTGTTGGATTTACAGCGAGGCGGGTAGGAGGTTCGGCGTTTATTGGGAGGGTGCTTTGAGATACCACATGTTGTTGCGAGTCGCTTTCGGCAGGAGAAGCAGGTACAGGACAAAAATCCCAGGCATTTTCAGGAGAGGCAGTAAGTAGTGTTCGAATATACGTAATGTCTTGCGCCGTCACATCATGTATCATCTTATTCAGACTCAGTTGATACTGGCTGGCTGGGGGTTCTTGGTCTTTCACATACAAATTATCGCTAGCCGAAAAAAGAAAAAAAACCTCAAATGGTGTAGACGAGCTTGCCCGCGCTGACCTTGCCCTCCTTCAACTCCTTCAACCCGACAACGACGCCCTCGAGGCCGCTCCCGCCTTGGTTCTTGACGACGCGGATGGGTTTCAGCTTACCCTCGGCCAGCAACCCGCGGCTGATTTCCCAAAACTTTTTGCCGAATTCGTAGTTTTCTGGTACGGCGTCTCTCTTGCCTGTAAGAGTTGATGGTTGTTGTTAGCCGCCGCAAGCTTGGAAGATGAAGGTAAGGAATATAGGGTATGGGAGGGGGTTTACGTATGGTGTAAAGGGGAAAAGAGAAAAACTCACCAAAGTATCCAAACTCCTCCCCAAAAACAGTATAATACAAACTCATCTTCACCTCAACCTTGTCATTCACCCCCGCCACAACCTTTTTATCAACAGGCAACAACGTCCCAATAACACCTCCTTTGGTACTACTCAGCGCCTTCGCAACCAAGACGGCACTCTCATTCGTCGACTGACAATCCCACGCCAGCGTCAGCTCGTCATTCGTAGCCTTGCGGATATCCTCCGACACGGAGGGCGACTTGTAATCGTACACCTCGTCGGCGCCCAACGACTTTAGATACTCGAAATTGTGAGGGGACGAGGTGGCGAGGACGCGGTAGCCTGATAGTTTGGCGTATTGGATACCCGAGATGCCCATTGCCGTGCTGCCGCCGTAGAGTAGGATCGTGGGGGGTGGGGTGGCGATTGTGGGTGAGGTTGGGAGGGGGAGGTTGAGGGTTTGGTAGAGGCCTTGGCCCTGTTTTTGGGGGATATGGTTAGCTCTGATGTGTCTTTCTCTCGGAAGGGGTAAAGAACGTACGACGGTGGTGACGGCGATACCGAGCGTCGCGGCCTCTTCGTCCGAGATGTTATCCGGCGTCTTGATCTGCACGTCGCCCTTGACGGCAATGTACTTTGCAAAAGCGCCATCAATCTCTCTCAGTGCGTTTCTGGATCACTCCAACGTCAGCTTCCTCTGCTCCTCCTTCGTGTCTCCCTTGTATACCAAGCCTCAAGAAGAAAGCACTCACGATCCATTAACAGGCCCGCAAATCCGATCCCCCTTTTTGAAATCCTTCGTCACGCCCTTGCCAACCTCCTCCACGACACCCGCATAATCGCACCCGACCCAGATCCCCACGCAGCCCGCTTTATCGGCGAGGTCGACGTGCTTCCAGTCCGTCGGGTTGACGGCTACGGCCGTCGTCTTGACGAGGATGTAGTCGTTGGCGGGCAGCGTGGGGATAGGGGCGTCGACGACTTTGGCGACACCTGCTTCGATTGTCTTAACGGCTTGGTTTGTCGCCATTGTGTGTGTTGTGCTGTTGTTGTTTGGGTCCTCTGGAAGATTGTGTGTTTGTAAGTATGGGTTTCGTCTACCTAGCAGCAGTGTTGGATGTGAAGCAATGTCTAACCCACCTGTATGGTGATAGCTGTATGATGTGAAGGTTGAACGGCGTTGCTGTTAGTGGGTGTATATTCTAAACTAGAACCAGACTCGATTGGAAAAAAAAAAAAAGCTCTAGAAACCAAACAAGTCTTTCTTTCTTTCCCTTCAAGTAACAACCCAGTCGGCATTGCGTCCCCAAAGAAAAAAGCTCCTCTGCCCAGATACCGATAAACCCCTCTCTCTCTCCCATCGTCAAGCCGGCCCCGGCCTGCCACACCCCTCCTGCCCTCTAGCTTACAAATGCTTGCGTAGCTACCTACCCAAGGTAATGGCAGCAGAACCAAGACAACAAGGTAGAGAGGTAGGGGTCCATGTACCCAGCCAAGCCAATGCGGTGGTTAATGGAACCATGTTATCCACACTAGCTCGAGAGACCGTATGTGTGTGTGTGTGTGTGTGTGTATACCTATGTTATTCCCACCGCCGGCATCATCGATTTTGCCTTCTGCCCCGCACGGCATTACCAACTAAGGTACTTGGACAACCCGCGGACCAGGTACTCTTCCAAGTCCCTCTGGCGCGCAACACCCGGAACAATCTACGAAATGAAACATGGCAATCACCTCTCCAGCAAATCGCGGATGTTATTCAAACCCGATTCTCTGTCCCTAAAAAGGTGGTAGGACGGGGGGTGGTGGGAGCCGAAGAGGCCGCGGCGACTTGGAGCTATGTAATACCCCGGACTTTGCTGGAAGTTGAAGGTCCGGAGCTTGGGCCGTCGTCTCCTTTTCTCGGCGCCGTGGAGTCTGTGCTGCTTACGGACAACGACGACGCAGAATCTCACCCCTTTCGGTAATCCGGTGCTCTCTCTCACTCTGTCAGATTCCGGCGCCGGAGACTGCTTATCACAACATTCGGGACGCCGATATTTTCATGATTACCAAGCAATGCCAGCCCGCTCCGTCGCAATGGAATACGTACATTCATTTGGCGGTCAATTGTGAGTGAGGGGTACGCCACAACTGATCCCGCGATGCAGTGATAACAATCTTATCGCCGATACGCGCCCCTGCACTTATCGACCCCTCCGAGGGGCGCACTCCTGGGCTTCCCAGGTCAGCAAAACCTGACATCACTTACCCTTCATCAGATTATCGTCACTATTTGGGCCAGCATGAGTAAGTGGTAAAAGTTTCGTCATAATGGTATCTATAACAACGCGTTCTAAATCCTGTAACCAGACCATCCGCGCAACGTCCTCTGCGGGCGTTGCTAACGCTGTTCCCGTACATCCGCTTGTTCATGAAGCGCCACATCCCCTGAAAATAAGTGAAGAATAAACCGTGTCGCAGGCGATTGGCCGCAAAGAAGACATAAAAACAAAGAAAACGGCAGATGAAATCAAATCACCCTGTTACCGACCACCATAGTCACTGGCATATCCGACTTCTCCAAAGTTCTGACCCATGCCGCCCTCTCCAAAGCCTGTACCAGGACCGCTGACATACCCACCGTCATCGCCTTCGTAGTCACTGGCATCGAATGATGAACGGCCCGATATGTCGTCTTCGAGGCCGCTGCTCGCATCTTGCGCTGACCAGTTCATCTGGGCCAGCGCCGGGTACTGAGCCAACAGAGCAGCCGGCAGCATGTACTGCCCACCGGCGTCCATGGGATAACCAGGCTCCATGCCCATACCCTGTGCCGCCATGTTTTGCATGTTCTGTTGCTGCATCCGCTGTTCCTGCCACGCGCGCTGCCGGTCGAGCATTTCTTCGTCCAACAACGGCTTGATGCAGATTCTACCCGCCTCTGATCGGAAGTGTCGGCCAAGCGCATCGGCGCGCGCAAATCTTCTACCACAGCCCCACTGGCCGCCAGCCTTCAGGTCTCCCTTGCATACAAACTTCTTTTCTCCAGAATGCAGACCCTCGTGTCTCTTGCGGTCGTGCTGTCTCGCGAACGCCTTGCCACAAACTGTGCAGACGAAGGGACGCTCGTCTGTATGGGTTCGCAAGTGAGATCGAAGGTTGTAGGCTCTGGTAAAGCGCTTAGGGCACAGAGTGCACTGGAATGTTGCCGGGTGCTTCTGTACACGTTTCGAGTTCCCGTTGTCCTGGGCATTTTGGTATTCAGGGTCCGCCAGTCTCAGCGCGATGACGTTGTTTGGTACGGCCGAGGTAGATTGGCGTCTACGACTGGGGCTAACAGCTCCCCGGTCGAGGGGGGAGAGCGATCTTGACGAGTCTCGGCCGGAAAGATCAGATCCTAGATGAGGCGACAAGCTGCCAGCAGAAGTTTGGCGCACCATACCTCCGCCGGAGCTGTTGAAGGGATCTGTCACTGCGCGGGGTCTGGATCGCGGGCGGCCTATTTGCATTGTTAGCTCCGACGAATAACATCGACAACATCACGGTGCCTTACCTCGCTCTGGCGGAGTGAGAGAATCTTGATCCATCTGGTTCTTGGGCTGCTCGAAGTTGTTTTGTCTTGCTGTGGGCGCGAACTCGATGTTGATGGCCGGCGCCACTTGAGGCATCTCCGGCTGTTGCAGAGTCGGGAAGGCTTCTTGCCCCGTGTAGCCAGCACCACTGACGAACCCGGCATTTTGTGCTTGGAGGCCAAAATTGGGCGGCTGGTTCAGCTCGGGCATCGACTGGGGGAGGATGCGCGGGGAGATGGCCGGGCTATGCGACGGGCTCCGTCCATGAAGATTCGGGCTGCCGAGCGCGGGGTCCGAAATAGTGAAGTTGTCGAAGCCCTGGATCTGCTGGTAGAGACCGGCATCTTGGGGCCGCTGCATCGGCGAATGACTTTGGTCGATTCCGTCAAAGCTGTCGGCGCTCACTAGGTTCGGAGAGGGTGCAGCGGAAGAGACGTCCGAATACTCGGAAGGAGATCGCCGGTGGCCTCGAAACTGAGGTTGGCTCCATTCATTCAGTTGGTTTGGCAAGAGAGCGGCCTCGGGGCCGAGGGACGCATGTCTAGAGTGACCCGCGCCCGAGGGCGGCGACGAGAACTGATGCTGGTTGAAGGCAGGAGACTGGTGTGCGGAGGGAGTCTGGTGGGGGTCCGGGTTGAGGAGGTGGGGAGGTGTAGGAGAGTGGTGACTCTGGGGCATAGCCATGTTGTTCATATCACCCGGGTTGAGGCTCTGGTCGAAGACTCCGGTGCTGAACTGCTGGTCGTTCTGGCCCGAGTTGGGAAACAGGGCGAAGTCGCCGGAGGGGAAGTTGGGGTCGAGGAAGGCGGCTTGGTTCTGGTTCGCAAAGGCAGCTCCGGACGGGTTGTAAGACTGCTGGGTAGGTTGCTGGCCGTTGAGGAAGCTGTTGGTGTTATTAAAGCTGGAGAAGTCGGCGGAGGCGGCTCCGTTAAAGGCTTGAGTTGCAGATTGATCCAAGCCGAGACCGAGACCAATTGATGCTTCGGGATTGGGCTGGAAGGGATTCGGAGATGGAGAATGCGAAGGATGTCTTATATGAGGCTGTTGATGCCCCGCAGAGGGTGAGCGACCGCGTTGGCCTTGTTGATCCATGATGTAAATGGGATGTCGGTAATCGGGATGGAAGGGATGTCGTGTGTGTACGTGGATGCGGATGCGGGAGTGTGTGTTGTGTTGCTGTCTTTAGAATCGGGGCGAGGCAGTTCACAAGTCAGCCTTTCAGGCACCGCACCGCCCTGGGGCTGTGCTGACGCGCGAGCTGACGGCACACAAACTGGAGGCGGCGGGGGTACAGTCGCGGACGACGAGATGTTATTCGCTGTCGCGAATAGGTTTGCGCAATGATAGTTCGTGTAGATGAGTGCGACTGAGTGATAGCGACGAGGAGACGAGAGTCAAGCAGCGAGGCCGGAGACGGATAAAAGTGACTTGAAGTGAAGAGGGTTTGGCGACGTTTTGGGGGCGTTGGAGAGAGGAGGGAGAGAATACCGCTGCGGGAGATTGAGTGGTAATGTGCTACAGTGTGCGAAGGAGGAGTTGAGATGGGGAAGCGAGGACCTGGTCGGCGGGCAGGAGGGGACCGGACAGACAGACCCGGCACCAGGGCAGGTATCCATAATACCTTAGGTGTGGAATTGGGGTCTGAGGTCGGGTCACAGTTGGAAGGGGGGGGGGGGGGGGGAGGGACTCGAAGAGGAGGACAGTATGTAGGACTTGGGATTCGAAGGAGAGAGACTTGGGAGCCTGGGAGGGGAAGGGGGGGGGGGGGGGGGAGTGTGGATTGTGGGACAGCGAGGTGAGAGGTGCAGGGTGAGGTGGTTGACGGGCGACGTGGTTGGTCAGGATGGATCCACCTGAGCGGCCCAATCTGGCTGGTTCCCACAAGGCTGTGCACGTTTGAGGATGGATCTTTCGGCCGGTGTCTTTGATTTGGTGGATGGGTGGTACCGCGAGGTGGGATTGTACCTGAAATTATGCCTGAGATACGTGCCGGAACAAAGTTCTCCGTACTTGAGAGTCCCAACGTTGGGTCAGGTCGAGGTACCTCTGCAACGGCGCGCTCCGACTCGGATTGGCATGCGCTTAGGTGATGGATGTTGGTGCTTTCCGCTTGCTCTGCTCAGCGCTTGGAGTGTGCTGTCACGTCCACGTTGAGAGCAACCAACAGCTCTCTCTCTCTCTCTCTCTCTGACGGGAGCTAGGTAAGGTACCTCCTGTAGGTACGGAGTACCTGCAAGTCTTTCGTTTCTTCCGGACTACGGATACAGCTTTTGGGCTGATCGATCACGTTCTGTTGGTCTGGGGTTGGAATGTACGTTGGCCGCGCGTGCGAAGACGTGGAGCAGCACCGCGATCCGGTGCGATGGTATGCTACGAGCCGACAGGTAAAATCCAAAAATATCTTCTGCCTCTCTCTTGCGCGCAGGGATCTTAGACGACTAGCTGGCTGTACAGGTCGGCGTCTATCGTAGCTTCTCGGAGCTCTCAGTCAGACAGTACCTTGACGGAACTTGGTCGTTTGCTTGCCACCTTGACTAAGTAAAGTAGGCCTTTGACGTCGGTCGGCAGCGATGACGGACCTTGCTCGGTGTCCAAAGCTCAAAGGTTTCAACCGTGACTTTGGGGTGCAGCTTGGAGCTAGGTCCGCTGGCCAGTCTTTGACAGAGTCCAGATGCTGCTGATGACTGTTGAAGACGAGTTCGGTGTGCGTGTGTGTGTGTGTGTGTGTGTGCGTGTTTGCTTGCTTGCTTGCTTGCTTGCTTGTGCTACATGCGACGAGACGGGAATGCGAAAGCTCAGATGCAAAAAGCAAAAGACGGTACGGACTATGATGCGCAGATAATTCTTCAGAAGCAAGGTCCTCTGGCTTTCTGAGTCTCCATACGGAGGGTGCCAACAATCCAGCCGTGTCAGCGAAAACTCAAACACTGTATCAGTACAAATTACTCCGTACGCAAGGAAGAGCCTTGGATTGGATGGGATTCGATGCTGGCAGGCAAATTGTAATAAGCTCGTGCTGGAGTCCTCGACATGGCCGTTGTTGGCATCGTGGACCCAGGCATGCCGACTAATAAAACATCTAGGCAGCAAGAAGAGGGCCTTTTGCAGAAACCTTGCTTTGCTAGTGCATGATGGCTAGGGGTCAAAGAAACGGGCGGGAAACGGCCGGTCGGAGGGGTAAATAGGGGTCTTGTTTCGAACAGGCACAATCCAGTCTATCCAGATAATGCACCGCAGCACCATACTTGTTACTGTGTATCCGTACGAAGCAGTCGACGACTCGAAATCTGATGCACACGCCACGAGACTGAGACTGTCAATGTCACTGAGGGGAGCTGGGCGGGCATCTCGGCGGGCCGGCATTTGCTTCCTATCCTGACAGGACTGGGCATCCAAATTCCAACATCTGATCCAGCATCCCATCCATCCCTTCTTGGTATCCGTACACTAGTGTACTACTCCGTAGGCAGCTTGGCAGACACTTTACAACTTGACGATGCTCATCACATTACAAAGACTATTCTCCACCAAATGTAGTAAATAGATGTCTATTCTTGTCTTGGGCATGCTTACACGTAAGACTCTAGACTCGGAATCAAGCCTAAGCAGATGCTAAAAGTATTAGTCTCAGGAAGGCACTTTACCTCGAGCACTTGACTTTTCCACCGAATTTCCATGTCGTCTGTCTGACTCTGCCTTGACTTACACCGTCTCTCACTCTCAGTCTCTCCATCAATAAGCTGATTGCAACTTACCAGACCTGGCCGTCATCTGGTTCCCTGTCCCAGCTGTTCCAGGTCCCGGCGTGTTGATGGTGCGTTTCCATTCGCGTAGTTGAAAGTACCTCTCAGCAGTAGTAGGATTGGCTGGGAGTACCTTAACCACAGGGGAGGAGGGGGGTGGCCCAAACCACCTCCAACAGGCTCCAAGGATTCCTGTGTACTTGCGACTGCAAGTGTTGGGTTAGGCGTTCTTGCTTCTCGAATCTGCCTTGGGTGGGTTTCTTGTTTCCGGTCCGTGTCCATCCACCGGTTTCCAGCGCGCCTGCTGCAGCTGCTGCTTGACAATGGCCCAATAATTTGAAATTACACGATTCCTCGCCTGGCGGCTTGCCTTGGCATCTATTCTTTCTCCTACACATGCTTCCAACCAGTCAGCATGGAGAGAGACACCTTAATCATGCCATCACAAGCCTCTCATTTACGCTCTACGAAGTACCTACGGATACTCCACACCATTCACACCGATACTACGGCATAGGGTGATTCTGGCACTGTGGTTTTGGCTCTAGAGTGTCGAGTCTTGAGTCTCGACACACCGACGCACTCTGCTCCCCTACCGCATCGGCGGCTTCAAGAGTCCGGCCACCTGTCACTGGTGATCCCTGCGCCCTCACCGTCGTCATCGTTGTCGTCGATATTCTCGCCCTGGTCTAGACTATCTTAGCTGCCGCTCTGTCAGACGCTGATTGACAGGTCCCATCCACCCACTTTTCACTTCCAGCATCCAGCTCATTACACTACATAGAATACCTGATACATGATGGAGCTCTGCTAGATGCATGATGTAGACACTATCACGCACCGCCACCAATCACCATCAGCGTTGGCCAAGCACTCGCCAACCTACCTCCCATGCTGAGCTACGTTGATCCTCCTTTACCGACATCGACCTGGACATCAGATGGAGCAGCCCACATGGAGCAGTAATGAGCATCAAACATGAGATGAGAGTGGACAGTCAAATGCAGACTTCATCAAACACTGGCACCACTTACAGCTGCCGTCAGCTTGCCAACGTGCCAATGTCTCGCGGGTGGGCACGCGAGTTGGATCCAACCTCGTTTCCCCCGAATAAGCAATCCGGATTCCAAGCTCACAAGAGGATGCTGACGCTCATCACGGCTACTTCCTCTGCTGGCTCGCCTATTCGTTACATAGTAGTGAGCGAGCACAGCAATGTTCAATCCACCCTTGTGCACCCCTCTGCATCTCTTTGCAAGGCCGGCACATGCATTCCTCCCAGATACAGATCGAATGTGGCTCGAGTCTAATAAAGCATACGACTACGAATATGCAGACGAAGAGACGAAGAGACGAAATGTCATCCGCACTGCCACAGACAAAGTCCAATCACACTAAACATTAGATGCCGAGCCCGCCATACATACCGTCGATCAAGCTGTGCAAACATGAGTTGCTGCCGCCATACAAACATGATTTGCAACTTGCAGCACAAGTAAGCGTCAGCATCTTCAGGTACGGATCTCACCTTCCCGTCCCTTGGTGCAAGGCACAAGTTGTGCCACCAGATTTGCCATGAAGCTGACCCCTCGAAATATTCATTCGTGTCACATTTCATAAGAGGTACCAACAAACTTCTTGGAGGCGGGTTCCTTGCCTCGATTGTCTCGCAGCCCCTCCAGCCAACTCAAGCTCGAAGCGGGCATTTCTCGTTCCGTGAGGTCTTGGATGGGTCTTCTGCAATGAGGCGCAGTCCCGCGTGAAACAGGGACCCCATCGCCATATCACAACCAGCACCAACAGCCCTGTTCAACGATATGGACAACTATGAGGTCAACAAGTGTCTTGACCGGATGGCTTTCCATTCTCCAAACTTCTCAAGTGCTACGGTCCACGATATCTCCCTGTCCAGCGGACCAATGACGGCCCCGTCGCAAATCTAGCGTTGCTGCAAGACGCGGAATCGCGCCCGACACAGCCACGCCGGCTTCGTGGCCCCTTGGCCCCCAAAATGCCAGGCGTGCCAGGCCATGAGGCATGCCCCCCTCTGATATGACATCAAGCATATGGTTCTCTGCAAATCCACCGCGCGGCAGGAAGAAGCTTATTCGAGAAAAGGTGCCCCGTTTCAGGTCCATCCGGCAATCCAAGGCCGTGATCGAAGCGAACTTGCCCTCTGGAAGCTTGGAACCCTTCGATTTCTCCACACCGTCGAAGCTCGGGACCCATGCCGGAGCGGGCCCCCTTCAAGTCCAGGGCGGGGAGCGAGCTGGCTGTTCATGTCCAATTTTAGAAAAACCTTTCGGAATACGAACCGGACCGCACGGTTGGGACCTGCCATGTGTCCAACAACACCACCCGTGATGACAGTCGTCGTGTCTCCGGGCGTGGCTCGCTTCCTCGGAGAGCGTAGTGTAAAATGCCAAACATGACGGAGCTAAACCTCACTTTAGAATTGAAACTTTGTCAGCAATTGAGCTGGAGGCTGGAGTCTGGAAGATCACGCCATGCCCAGACCTTCAACTCTAGGCAGCCATATTGGGATCTCTGTTTGGCTTTTTTCATCCGATGTTACGTCGTCGTTCATCCCAAAACAACGAGAGCCATGCCACAGCCCCGCCAGAGATCTTTCTTTCCCCTTTGCGTGGCTGTGCTTCGTCGATCATTCTGGAGAAGAAACTGACATTCCGAGTCCCCACCAAGTGCAACGAGAGACTCGCAATTGCAGGCCTTGACGGATACACCAGCGGCTACTTTCGCTATCAAGGCAACTTACACATGGGGCATTGGAGTTGGACATTGCCTTTAACCCACATCATCCGAGTCTTGATATTGTCTTCCTGACACGGCATCAATTTGAATCCGTCATAGGACACCGTCTCTCCAAAGTCCAATTTCTCGGGTTGTGTTGGTGACCACACTTCAATTCGAATGCTACTCGGCAGCTCAGATTTCGTTCAAGATCTTTGAGCACTATGTTGATAAGACTGAGTATGGCATTCTCTCTTCATCAAGGTCTGTCTTTGGATCTTCTCCTCTTTGACATAGAAAACAAAATAAAACAGTTGGAAATCTGAAAGTTCCAGTTAAACCCCAAGACCGATTGATCTCTTTTCCTAATATTATACAATGAGTAGGGGGCTGTCCGTCTCCCAAACAAAAGCAACTCCGTAAAAACGCCGGCCAGTCCCCCGTTCTAGTGGTATCATCGGTCTTTCTTTCTCTTACAAGTCTTCTTCTTCTTCTTCTTCGCCGTCTTTCGTCTTCATCGCCTTCTTCTTTAGTAAACGCAAGGAAATGTTTCGTAGTTGTGTAAAGAAGGATGTCTCGCAGTCCAAGAAGGCCATCGATGGCTAACAAAAAGAAATAAGGTGATGACAGATATCTCGCGGCGGTAGTAATCGAAAGTCGTTCAAATGACCTCGTTACGCTCGAACCCCTGGGCTCTCAGCGCGGCATTGGGCTTCTCGCCGTCCTTGTACTCGCTGACGAACGGGTTCGGGTCCTCCTTCTGGTTAAGGTTGCTGAGGGTATGGTTTACGCCTCTGTGAACGGCCTCTGCGAGTTGTTGTGTTAGCCCCCCTTTTTCTCATCATTTCCCCCAAAGTTCGGAGGGGGGATAAGGGATAGAATACGCACCATCAGCCCTGATATACAAAACCAAATCCTTCATCGTCCGATGCCCCTCGGGGATCTTCCAGTACTGCACCGCAATATCCGGAATCACAAAGTTCGGATCGGACCATTTCGGCAGCAAGCCCTGGTCAATCTCGTAGAGGCACCGCGTGTAGGTATGCACGGCCTCCTCCTCGAGGTAGCCCACAAAGCGGTGGGTGATTTTGGGGGAGACGAGGTACGACAAGAACATGCCGTTGAAGAAGACGCCCTGGGCGCCGAGGATCATGACCTTCATGAACCAGCCCGGCTCCGACATCTTCATAAACGTGAGCAAGTGCATGCGCTCGTTGAAGGACTCCTCGAGGAGCGTCTCGATCCAGCCGTTGTCGCGCTTCATGCGGCGCAGGCTGCCGAGGTGGCGGAGCATGCCGGCGACCATGCCCGGGACTGTGGTACGGATGTCAGTCTTGCTGTTCCTAAGTGTATATGGTACTCTCCCGTGGAGAAGGGAAGAGAAAGAAGAAGAGAAAACTAACCTCCGGCAATACTCTCCAAAAAGATGAACCGCACCAGCCACTGCGCCTCGGTAAGCGGCTTATCGGCGACGAGCGACGTGGTGGGATTCTTCTTGTCGACCTGCTGCTCGGACCCGAGCCCCGTGGCGCGGTCCATGAACCAGCGCGCGAGCCGGACAAACTTCCACGCCGTCCAGTCGCCGACGGTGCGCGGCTTGCGGTGGTCCGGGATGATGTCGTGCATCTGCTGCTCCGTGTAGCCCGGGTGCGGCCATGCCGGTGCCGTGAGGCGGATGTGTTCCGTCTCCTTGGCCGGGAAGAAGTCGCGAAGCTGTGTTGCTCGGGTTGTGGAGAAGGATCGGCTGCCCGTCGTGGCGGTGGTGGTGTTGTTGTTGTTGTTGTTGTTGTTGTTGTTGTGGTGGTGGTGTTGCTGCTGGAACGAGGCGGTGGTGATGCGGAGGCCGGCGAAGGAGGTGGTGGTGTTGTAGAGCGCCGCGGCCCGGGCGAGTTGGACCGCTTGTTTTGGCGCGCAGAGTCTGGTTGATGCTCTTGATGAAAGCATTGAGGTTAGGTGAGGAGGTTTGCTTTGGTGTAAGTCGGGGGGTGTGTGTGTAAGTCGAGTGGCTCTCTAAGAGTGATGTCAGGTTGTAGTGAAGTCAAGAATGTACTTGATTGCTGGTGATGATGGAGCGAGAGTCGTACGGCCTGAGGAACGGCTCACGGCCCAGAGTCTTATATACCATTTGGAGGGGTGGTTGTCATGTCGATACGGCGATGGGTGTGTGAGGGTGGGGGGAGGGGGTGGAAGGGGAGCAGCAAGCAAAACCTGTCAGATGGCAGACATTACACAACGCATGAGCCATAGCCAGGGTATCCAGATTCGTGATTGTTCGGCGAGGACGCGATTACCCAAGCCGACGAGGAAGAATAGGAATGGGAAGGGGTCCCTACGAAGAGGGATCGGGTAGCCCAAGCCCCATGAATAGTGAAAGAAACATGGTATAGAGAGCCTCAGGGAGACTTGTGATCCATGCGTTTGGTAGTCGCAGGAAAAGTCGCCGAGAGTACGCCGCTGAGACCCAGGTACAGTAAGGTCTAGTATAGGTGAACACAAGGGCAAAGCGAGAAAAAAAAGTCAATTAGCCTTTGATTTCGCATTCTCTTGTCTGACGTCTTGTCGGTCCCGATGTTACGGATACAGATGGGAACACCGTCTTAGTGGGGGCGCGGGCGTTGGAAAGCAATGCAGATTGGATTTGCAAAGGCCGCGGAGACAGGGATGCGAGTCCGCCGTAGGGCGTAGCTGCGTAGTGGAAACCGACGAACCGTAAAACGTGGAAATGCTGTCAAGTCAGCTGGACCAGATTGGCGGCGTCGACGTCGGGTCGTATCGGGATGTGAGTGTTTTGTCCCTGTGTTCAGAACTTCAGATCCTAGAGGCTAGGGGCACATACGTGAGGCGCACACAGACATTTGTCCAGCTGCTACAGAATTCGTTCCGCTCTGTTTTCGTGGGGGCTGTGATTGGATGGGATACTGTCAGCTTTCTGCCTTGATCCGTCGAGTCGCGGACTTTTGTTGTCTCTTTTACCAGTTAGAAACCAGTCGTCGTAATACAGAGTGTCTTATTTTGGTGTTTGCTTACTATTGCTGTTGCATGTCCTCGCGTGCAGCTGCAATGATTGATGTCTGGTCAAAATGACGGAGCTGAAGTCCGCCGATGTACCGACTCTCTGCTTTGATGAGGTGCCAACAGCCATGGCACTTCAATGTCCAAAACAGGCGCCCCAAACATCCGCGTATACGACTGAACGATCATAGAGGAATTGGACAGAACCCCCGAGTCATGAAGAAGAGGTATTTTGTCGATATCTTGCTCATCGAGGGGTTCTAGAGTTGAACGGCGATTGAAGATCGCCCATCATCTCCACTTGACAAGCTCTGGAGCCCGAGGAGGCCGGGCGCCACTGTGACAGACCAAACTTTCAAATCCCGTATCGTTGGCACTTGGCAAGCTGGCACAAGCACAGCAATTTGCGACATGCTCCGGGGGAGCAAGGCGGAAACTTGTCACCCGACCCCGATCCCGACACCGACTCCGACTTTTCTCTCCGGAGGTCCAAGGCCATGCAGACCGTATCGGCTTCCTAATTAGGTATCGTTGCTTCGAGTCCAAGACGAGAACTACTCACTCTGGACGCGGAAAGGACGAAATATCTGGGATCTTAGTAATGTTTTGCGTGTCACGAAATGGAATCGATCCATTGACTCACTTGATGGATCTGAGAATGAGAAGGACTCAGCGGAAATCCGCTCGAACCTTTGTGGATTCTGCCAAACGCCCAAGTAAGGTAATGCAAGTGTAGATACCTGAGGACCTCTCAGGTGAAGGAATTTTTGCTGGTCACGCTGGCGCAATTTTGTTGTTTTCGAGAAAACATGCGGAAGACATCGGGAGAAGGCGGCTCTGCAAGCGCGGAGCAACGTCCGGAACACTAAGATAGCACACCATGCATGAATCGACGACGAAAACAGCGTTGGGGATACCTGAGGCTGGGTGTGTGATGCCTCATGAGGCTCCACTTCGCGTTTGCGATGTTGAGTGTCCGTGTGGAATTTGCGCCGTCTAACGACATGTTTGGTGTGTTCAAGGAGTCAATACGGTCAAGAGATACTGATGTTGCTCGTACCTTATACGGAGTACATACAGCATGCTGGACCAGTGCACAATAATCGATGATGAATCCGTCCATGGTGTGGCATCAAAATACGTCGATGAATTTGGTGCCTCGTCATGACGTGCAAACTGTTCACAATATGGTTGGGTTGACCTTCTTCACCACGATCCACAAGGGACCGCAAGCAATGAAAACAAAATGAAAAATCTTTTTCAAGATGAAATTGGGGTTCAAAAATTCCCTAGCCAGCCGAAGCCAACTAGGAGTGGTCATAGTTATAGTTTTCAACTAGCAAAAACACGATCTCGGACGAATCCTCACTGATACGCGTAAAGCCCTTGCACTCAGATGAAGAAGAAAAAGAGAAGAAGTCTGGCAAAGCCCGCGGTGGGAGGTGGGCTACTTATAGGGATCTCAGGTGGACCCGCAATCAGTAAAAGAGTACGTACCGGAGATGGGTGCCTTGGGTGCCTTCCACTGTCCAGGCAGTTGTCAGCCTCCAGTTCTCCAGGTTCCTTCCTTTCAATTCGCTTTTGGTGAATGCCGCAGGGTTTGCCTTCTGCACGACCCACCTACACACAAGGGGGATCGACTTGCCTGCCCTGAATACCTCAAGGTACGGAGTACATGCCAAGACGACCTCTCATGATGCTCTGTGAATATCGACCTGAAGGCTTCGTAAGTCTGCCCTCGAATACACTATCATCTCTGTTGAACACTCTTCGGTCAGCGCGTTATGGCTGCAGCGTACTGACCAGAACTCCATCATTGCCAGGGCCCAAAGTCAGTTCTCTCCAGCCATCTGCCAACAACATGTTTCGCCGATGTCGTCGTCGTCCCACTGGCGACCTGGACTTACCTCGTCGTCCTGTTGATTGTTCTCCCACTATGTTTGCGCTCACTGCGGGCTTCAGCCTCAGCTTCAACCCTGTCGTCGCACACGGCTGAAGGTTCCACGACAGGAGACAAAGTCGCCGTGTCAACATCAGCATCGACATCGACACCAGTGACCAAGTCACCTTCCGTGGCCATCAAGATCGCCAGCATCATCTACTACATACTCATAGTTGCCATGCTGGCTATGTTATCACTTGAGATCGCCCGTCTCATCGTGGCCCAGCTCGGCATCGGTCTCCTCCCCTTTACGTACATTGGCATACTCGCCGCCCTGGCCCTTCACGTTGCTGCTGCGTCAGCGACTACAGCATCCAGGCTTGGCGGGTTGCGTGTCTACAGTGGTGACGCGCGATGGGGGTGGACGGTCAAGGGCGTCAATATTTTGTACTGGGTCATGTTGATGTGCGTGATGGCAATCAAGGTTGCCAGCCAGGCCCAGGAGCAGAACGTACTGGGGATACGGACGGGTCAGCAGGCGCAATATCCCATTTCGGATTCCATCACGGACAATGCGACTATGGTGGGGGTGGAGTTGGTGCTGTTGATCTTGGAGTTGTTGACTATCTAGCCATCCTTACAGCTTCGTCGAAGTTCTAATACCTAACATTGTACATCATTTGGGGTGCGACAACAGCATGGCGAACTGATCATGTCTTTGTGGTAGAGGTGGCGCTCTCTGCAAAGCGACCCGTGTGGCTGTGCAAGAAGAGCCAAACAGCCCGACTAACAGAGCAGGCGCGGGGCCATTTTGGTGACTCACTGCGTAGAAGTGCGGAACGTTCACGAGTCCTCCGTGAATACATTCCCGTACTGACGGCCTAAGTTTCGCGGTATTCAAATCTTGAGTAAAAGTATCTGAATCAAAGTGGTATTCTAGATCTTCGAGGCCAATGAGGCCAAAAATGAGACTCCGTGGAAGCGGATTGATGGCGAAGTTCTGTCAATCACCTCGGGCAACAAGAACAAGGGTGATGGCGGGGTTGTGTTCTCAACCACCACATGTCAGGGGTTAGAGAAAAAAAGATCTAACCCCTCCACGACGTCCATTCAGGACCCCGCCCCATGTTTTCAAGGCAATACAGAACCAGAGTGCGCAACGCGGATAGTGTCTCGGGCCTTCAGGCAAAGAGCTGCGCTATTGCCCAACTTCAAGGCGCAATTGCAATAGGTACCGACTATCACTCAAGATTCAAGAACCAAGGCCAGATGAGGATACACACTGCTCGAGGGATGAGATGTAGGTAGTCAAGCAGGCAGAGAGCGGAGAGGTCATTCACCTGCCCATGCACATCCCAATCACAAACACCTCATCAAATGTCTCAAATAAGAAGGCCTGCAGGAAGGACGGCTCGTAAGACGAGATGACGGGAGTGCAAGCGCCAGCCCAGAGCCTTTTTGCATGAGGTGCCTCTACGGGTGAATGTAAGTGGCCTGGAATTCGAAGCTCCAGCGCAGGTCCCCCGCTACTGGCCGCTCAACCGCTGCCTCCAGGTCCGTCTGCCGCCTTCGGCCTGGCTGGGTTTTCCCTTCCTCGGGTTTCCCTCTGACGGTCCCTTCCCAAGTTCCTGCCCAACCACAGAGCCCCAGAGCCCCCTTGCTTTCCACAATTTGTTTCCTTCCCGACTTCAGCCAGACCGGACGGACCTTTCACTGCCGTACCCAAACTCTGCCCAAAAACTTCTTCTTTCCGCAGCCAACATATCTGGAAAGATTCCTTGTGACATCTTAAGCAGTCATCTCGCCTCGCTTTAGACTCTTGCATCGTTATCCTTTGGCCCCGCGCTCAACATCCAAAATCTGACATCATGCCTCCTAAGAAGTGGGGTGAGTTATGCCTTGTCCCGCACCGTACCGCACCGCACCGCACACGCACACAAATAATCGCGAGAGGCAAAATGTCGCGATGATCTGTCCAGTCTGGCCAGCGCAACTGCTGCCTCTCTTCTTCCCAGACGATTTACCTGTTATCCACTTTGGACTTCACTAACTCCCATGTTCCCCACGTAGACGAGGAAAGCAGCGATGAGGAGAGCTCCGGCCCTGCCTCTCCTATTGGCGGTGCGGTTCCCATCCGCCGCAAGTTCGAAGACGAGGAGGATGAGGATGACGTACGTTGACGACACTACAAAACCTACCACGTCGTCGCTCATACACTAACTCTTCTCTCGAAGGTTCTCGATTCCTGGGATGCCGCCGAAGACTCCGAGGTCGAGCGCGAAAAGGCCAAGAAGGCCGAGGAAGCAAAGGCCAAGGCTCTCGAGGAGGCTAAGAAGAACAAGAAGACCAAGGCCGAGCGTATCGCCCAACTGAAGGAGGAGCGTGCCCTCCTTGATGCCGACGACTCTGGCGAGGAGGAGACCGAGGCTGAGCGCCGTGAGCGCCTCCGCCACACCGAGAAGGAGTCCGACCTGAAGCACGCCGAGGATCTCTTCGGTGATATCGGAGTCCCGGCCGGTCGCAAGGCTGTTCTCGCCGGCTCCGCTGTCCAGATCGACCCCAACGACCCGACCAAGACGGCCAACATTGCCTCGATGCCCCTCTTCAACCCCATCACCAAGACCCAGTTCGAGCACCTCCGCACCACGCTGACCCCGATTCTGGCCAACAACGTCCGCAAGGCTCACTACGGCCTATTCCTCCAGGAGTTCACAAAGAACCTTGCCAAGGATCTGCCTAGCGACCAGATTAAGAAGATTGCCAGCACTCTCACTGCCCTTGGTAACGAGAAGATGAAGGAAGAGAAGGCTTCCCAGGGCGGCAACAAGAAGAGCAAGGCGGCCAAGACCAAGGTCTCCGCCGTCGTCAGCCGTGCTCCCACAGCTGACACTGAGACCTACGAGGACGATGGTTTCGGAGAGTAAGTCTATCTTCCAAGACTACTGTCTGATATTATGTACTGACTTTTTCTCTTCTTAGTGACGACTTTATGTGAAGCAAAAGGCAGGGTTGCATTATTATCCCGCGCCCAGAGCTCAGCCCCTTGTATCTCAGCGAGTCTGCTCCGTGCCAACGGATTCGGCGCGGCTTCGTACCGAAGCTCGCCACAGCGACTTGGATTCAGAGCGCAAGTGTCGCTGTCGCGGACCCCGGCTGCGTCACGATGTAGATGGGGGCTCAGCATCGTGAGGGCTCGTGGGCTACTGGGACTGCCGGGAAGGTCATCATCTAGTTCAGATTGTGAGAGATGGCATCGGAAGTGGCGTCGACTCAAAGCGGGAAAGGCGCTGAATCATGGGGGAAAAACATCTACGGTTTAGAGGGCAAAGGGCCCAGTGCATTCTCGCGCATGATATCAAAGAAACTCCCTACAGAGGGGTAAGTGGCAGACAGCGTTAAGAAATGATAGAATCGAATCATTCCAGTAAACTCTTGTAGAGCCTGTGCCATGTGTCTGGAAGACTAGCCTTGGACGTCAGGCCTAGGCTTGCGTCATCTCTATGAAGCCTTCCAAACATCATAAGAAAGTTGTTAGTTACTCTCCATTTCGAGATACTCTACTTGTATACCAGTGCTTGCTCATTCAACTATCCACCTACCAAGTCTGCCCCATCCGGTAGAGGTTTTCTCACCTGTTGGTAGTTTACGGGTCATCAAACCCGCAGCTACCATACAGGTTTCGGAGAGCAGTAGCAGACTAACTTGCCTTGAAAGACTATGAGATGTGGCGATTAGTCCTGGTCGAACAAAGCAGTCGCCGCTCTCCTCTCGTCATGTTGCCTCTTCTACCAAAGCCGGGAGACAAGATACTCCAAGTCTCTGACTTCCCACCCTAGTAATTATCTAGACCACCCATGGATGGGGAGGGGGACAGTCCTGTAGCTATACAGCGTCAAGCAACCAAAAGCAAGGGTCCGCGGGGAAACGCTTGGTGGAGATGTTTTATTGTGGTTGCGATAAGCGTCGCCTAGGATCCTTGACAGGACGGGGTTGGGGGTTCATGCGCGCGCGTCATGCTGCCAGCGAACGAACTTCATGCCTTGAGTAGGTACCTTCTGAGTGACTCACAGCGTCAAATGAGACAGTATCCCAATATGTAAACATCGCAAACGACGCGCCTCAGTTGGAAGATATTTGGTCAAAAGGGGTATCAATTATTTTGTTGTTTGCTCTTCCCCTGCCACATGTATCCCTCATGTAAAACGCCTCGCCTTCCAAGAAAAAAGTCCAGCAGAGAAAAGGATTGAGTGGCTTGATGGAACCTAAAATCCCCTCCTTCCTCCTGGACAGAAATGAATGCCCTTTGTATATGTACACGATTGTTGTTTGCCCCTTTTCCCATCTATACAAGATTCGTAAAAAAACGCCTCCCGTCTTCGGAAATTCATGCGCTCATTAAAAGACAGCCGTGCTCACGTAGAGGGCAAGAAACAGAGAAGAAGCAGGGAGAGGGGAGTTGAGAGAACAGCTTTAAATGACATTACCTGCCATACCCATAAACAGAGCATGGACGGCAAGACTCAGAGTCCAGAAGCCGACCTTCTTCAGCCGACGAACGCGGCTTTGCTGGTCTTCAATGTCGCGTGCAAAAGCCTCGTAGGTCTCGGCCGACATGTCGTCCATGAGACCGCAGTCAAAGATGGACCAGCTGCCGTCAAAATCGGTGTGACGCTTGACTATGCGGCAGTTGATGGGGATGTATGTCTTCTTGGCGTTGATGTAGGCCACGATGGGGCGCACGAGCGCCTGGTTGATGTAAGAGATGTCTTTTGTGAAAAGGGGCACGGCGGCCTTGACATCGTTCATGTGGATTCGGAGATCCATGATTAGATATCTCCGGTCTTCTTCCGACGAGTCGGAAGAGCTAGAGGGGTCGGAAGTTTCAGAGTCTGTGGCTTCCTCAGGGGCCTCTTTGGTGAGCTCTGGTATAGCTTGGGAAAGATGGCCCTTAGTAGGTGTAGAGTTCCAAAGATCCGAGGCGGAAGACCCCACGATTTTGATGTCGAGCAGATCCTTCTGGAGCAGACGCATGCGGTTGGATATCACAACATCCTCAAGCTGGTCGTAAAGGTCTGACATGGCTTTGGTGATACCATCGTCAACGTCCGCGGGGAACATAACATCTGCGACAATGTCGACATTGCCCTCATAGATCCAGCCGAATGGGCCCTCTACGCCACGGTTAAGGTGGTCGATTTTAAGACCGTCGATGCGCAGGCGGCTAAACTTCTTCCAAGCTGCCGGCTCACCCACATCCTCTGCCACATCTCCGTTTTCGCTGGCAATGGTGCCGTGTACTTGACGGGGGTGAATCGTGAATAGAGAGCCATCGAATGATCCCGACATGTGGGTTGCCGATAGGAAATCGTAAAAGAGCCACTGTTTCCTGAGCTGTGGCAATTCGCATGAGAAGATGCTGACAGAAAAAGGTCGGAAGCCCTTGGGCTGATGAACAGTGACGAGTAGATCCTCGAGCTTGAAAGAGTCGATCTCGAAATCGCCGGGTTCGTGGGAATGACGGTAGGATAGGGGGTCGACAACCTCGTCTGACCATTGCACAGACGTGCGATCAACAACACCACGAACGCCCTTGACCTCGACATCTTTTAGGAAACCCTTGCCGTTCCACCACTTCAAAAATGACAGCGTTACGTTAACTGTTGCGATCGACACGTCGTATTGTGTATAGTTGCCATCGTCCTCTTCCAAAACTTGGCCGTCTTGATCGGGCTGGTTTCCAGTCGCAGCCATGGCCGCAGCACTCTCTGAAGAGCCCTTGCTGACCGAAGACTTGACCTGTCCTGGTCGCCGCGACACAAAGACATTCTTGAAGCTGATTACGCCATCTCCCCACTTGGGAACAATTGCCGACTCGAAGACTACCGTGACGCCGGCAGAGTCAGTCAAAGAGTCACCAACCCATTTGGCAAGAGTTTCTGTGCAAGTTAATTAGCATCTCAACATAGGTAAGCCACAGAGGGAAGCTTACCTTGCGCGACGACGGTGTTGATGCTGAGAATAATCAGCGAGAAGAAGGTGGTCGTGCCGACCAGAATCCAGACTAGATGACCAAACAGGAACCACGAAACGAAGGCGCCCCATTCATCAATATTCCACGGCCTCATACTCCTAATAGATGCCCACTTGAATCGAACCTTCATTCGACCCAGGAAACCATTTGCTGCAGCCAATAGCTCATCCCGGGTGGGCCGGTGCGGCATCTTTGGAATGTGCAAATACTTTGACATTGTGGTTGCGATCGATTCGGCATCATGCTCCGATGCGTCTGGCTTGCCCTGCTCCCCAGCCTTGGGGGTATCCTGCTTCGTTTGGGCCGCCGAACCCTTTTCCTCGTGCTTTCCACTCTTGGAGCTATGGTATCTCCTTTCGGCCGGGTTCACTGCGCCCCTCGAATCGGTATGTATGCCTCGTCGCCATGCTTGCCGGGTCAGTTGGTAGATATTCGACTTCTTCGTGAGACTGGTGCTCGTAGCGGATTCCGCAGCAACTGCGCAAGCTGCTGATGCTTGCGTGGGTGCGAGTTCTGTGGTAAATCCAACCAGCAGCAGCCCGCTGCCTGTATAGCTTCGTCGCGCATTGTGGATATTCGGCCGAGGGAACGAGTGTTGTGACCCGGAGTGTATCGACCTTCTGAAGGTATTCGGTCGAGGGAGGGCAGGGTTGACTGTAGGTTGACTGGCTTTCAAACAAGTGTTTCTCGTCGTTGCTGTTGCGATAGTCGTTCCTCGCAGACCCAGAGTCTGCGCCGATCCGCAGGCGCAAGACCAGAAGCGACGCCCAAGAAGAGTCGACGAAGCGTTAGACATTTCTCAAGCTCATCCTGTCTCTTGGTTGAACAGAGAGACGGCAACAAGAAAAAGAATGAGGAGGGAGGAGAAATCGACCCTGTTTATTTACCGCAGCAACAAAAGGACCAAGGAATAACACAGTCAGAGGGGTTGAAGCAAGGCAAGTATCGAGGGAGGCACACGGCAAATGTTAGCACATTTCATGCGCTCATGCAGAAATGACTGAGATGCAAAGCTGGGCCAGGGAAGGGCAAGCCTGTGAAAAGTCATCCATGACGCGCTACCGCAGCTTTACCTCGCTGAACCCGGCTGGACCCGTTCCAAAGGCACCTTACGTATGGGGCGTCCGCGCTTCCAGCAGAAAAATTCAGAGGCACATCATGGCCCGTGCTTCGAGTCTGGGCGGCCTAGGCCCAATGCTGGTCCTTGACTTGCTGACATAAGATCCGAAAGGCTTGAATGGGCAACGATGCACGGTGCCACCCAAAGTGCTTAGGTAGCATCACCCGGGCCCGGCCTTATCCCCTTATCGATAACGAAACACAAAAATTTGGGAATTCGGCGATAAATCGATACTGGCTCATCACTGGCACCCGCCGCTTTTTTCTTCACGACCGCCTGCCCACCCCGCCAGACCGACTCGGCTCGACACCACACAACCCAAGAAACACCACCGCTACCGAAGCGATATACAACTCTCGATCGAGTATCACTATAACCGAATCTTACGATAAAATCCTCCGATACCCTTCGTAAAACCGAAAATACTCGCCCAGCATGCCTGCCCCGACCGCCAAGCAGGTAGAGGTTTCTGCCCCGCCATTCGAGGCGGCTTTCCAAGAGCCTCAGCAAGACGAGGAGCTCCTACTCGATGCGCCCACCCTGCCCGAAGAGATGGACGCGATTCTGCCCAGCGTAACGCAAAACGGAGAGGAGGGCGAAATGGTTGTCGACGAGGAGAACCGCCCGCACTTTGCGCCCGCCAGAGACATTGTGCGACAGACCCCTTCATAAGACGTTGAAGAAAGGAGACTAAGATCGTTTAATGTTCCCAGGATCCCGTCACCAGAATAGAGACTCGCAAGGTCCCTGTGCCTCCTCACCGATTCACCCCGCTCAAGTCTTCCTGGCCCCAGAGTACGCTTCCAAAGTCCCTCCTATGCCACGGCAATGACGCACTACTCTCTCTAACACTTTTTTGCGCTTCTGCAGTCTACCCCCCGCTCGTCGAGCACCTCAAGCTCCAGGTCCGCATGAACCCCCGCCGGAAACAGGTTGAGCTCCGGACCTCGAAGCATACCACCGAGGACGGCGCCCTGCAAAAGGGCGAGGATTTCGTCAAGGCCTTCACCTTGGGCTTCGATGTCGACGACGCTATTGCGCTGCTGCGTTTGGACGACCTTTACAGTAAGCCGGCAGCCGATCCTTCAGATCAATAACTTTGTGTAGAGAACTAACGAAATTGTGTAGTCGAGACTTTTGAGATTCGCGATGTCAAGCAGGTTATGGGTAACGAGGCGCAAGGCCGTGCCATTGGTCGCATTGCAGGCAAGGACGGCAAGACAAAGTGTATGGATTTACCTCCTTGGCAGCATTCCCAAGTTTGGGTTATGGAGGACCCCCTTTTACTGACATTGAGACTTTTACCTAGTCGCGATCGAGAACGCCAGCAAGACCCGTATCGTCCTGGCCGACAGCAAGATCCACATCCTCGGCGCGTACAAGAACATCCACATGGCTCGTGAGTCCATTGTCAGCTTGATTCTCGGAAAGCCGCCTTCCAAGGTCTACGGCAACCTGCGGACGGTCGCGGCGCGCATGAAGGAGAGATTCTAGAGAGACGGGATAGCATCGAAAAAAAAAAGAAGCCTTTGGACAAACGAGGCGGGAAGATCAAAATCATGGGGAAAAGACTCTTTTTTTCCACCTTTTTGGGTGGGTTTAATGATTGGCATGAATGGCATCCTATCATGGACTATGGCGTTGTGGGCATTTTAGAGAGATTCCAAAAAAAAAAAAACCCCTTTTTCAGCTAGGGACTTGGGGAAGAAATGAAAGAAAGAATTCAAAACATTTTGAGTTCGTACATATCTCACAAATGACTTGCAAGATGAGACCGCCTAATATCTGCTACCTGTGATTCATCACTGAGCTACCACGGTATGTTGACCGTGTGGCAACTAGCTAAACGTACCTTGAGCAGTACAGACAGGTAAGCCAAGCCGGGGCTACTGATTCAGACTACATACTCTCTGAGTCTACGGTGGGAAGAGGGGAAAGCAGAGCCGCATGTGTTACGCCCGATGCTCAAAAGGTTGGCAATCATAGTCATATGTAAGGAACTTCAAATGTTTAAAGTAAGATCCTAAGATGGGTCTATTTACTTGCCATCCTCCGCTACAACACCATGCGCGAGTTTCCTACTTTCCTGTTGATTCTCAGCTCAGACAGACGAACAACACACTTGATGAAGCCATCACAGTCCCTCTCCCAATATCCGGAGATCAAGTTACAACATCATCACAAACACAGCCAAGGCCAAAAGTAGAAAATTGTCCGTAATGCGTTACTCCATAGACGTCTATACGTGCCTAACCCCCCAAATCGAAGAAAGACTTTTTACATCATTGGCCCACTCTCCCCGGCGGCAGCCGACTTTGTCAAGCCATGCCTTTTATCCAGGCATCCTGGACTGAACTGGCATTAAACCCTTTTTCCACTCCCCGTCTTTCCCTTGCTCTCTCTCTCTCTCTCCATCTCTCTCCGGTTTCACCCCCTTTCTCTCAGCTAACTGCTTCAAGTTTGCATTCAAACCTTCAGATAAAGTCACTGAAGATTGAGGGTTGTGTGTGTGTAATGTGGTTGCTCATGTTCATTTCGAGCAAAACGAGCCCTTACTCTTCGCGTGGAGTAACCGCTTACTCCTCATCACCCTCACCCGCCTCAGGCACCTCCTCCGCCTCGTCGTCGCCATCGAGGCCGCCAGAGGGGAGCTCGTACAGGCGAAGGATGGACTTGTTGGGGTCCTTGACGAGGATGTACTTGCCGTCCTGCTCACGTCTGAGACACATGTCGGCAATGGTGCGGACGATACCCCAGCCGTTGGACAGAGACAGGTTCATCTGGTTGGCAAAGTCGCGCGGCTTCCAGCCGACGACGCCGAGGATGACGTGCTTGTCGTTGGACTTGGGGTTGGCGCGGGAGACGAAACTGGGAAACAGAGGTTAGTATCGGACTTCGGTTGTTTAAGAAAGGACAAGAGGAAAAACGTACCCAAGCTTCATGACGTCGGCGCGGGCGAGGATGCTCTGCACCGTCCACCTGGCGAGCTTGCAGGAGTTGTTCTTCATCTCCGTGGCGACGACGGCACCGCGCTGGGAGACGAGCTTCGTCCGCCAGTCGAGGGCGCCACCGCTGCCCTGGGCCTTGTTGTCGAACTCGTTGAGCGCGTGCAGGGTGACGAGCTGGTCGTCGCCGCTGATGGCGTTCTTCTGGACGGCGTCGACCTCGGTACGGACGACGAGGTAGAAGTTGTCCTCCTCGCTGTTGGTGGAGAGGTCGAACTTGCGGTACTTGTAGGCCTTGCTGGCCGGCGGGTCCGTGTCCTCGGAGGCGTTGTAGAAGGGGTTGGCGTTGGCCATCTCGACCTTTTGGCCCTCGCTCTCGACGACGACCTGGTTGGCAAAGTTGTGGTTGATGTAGGTGGCCTCCTCGGCGAGGGCGCCGGGCATGTTGAGGCTGTCCTTGGAGCCGTCCGAGGCGTCCATGGGGGAGTCGGCGGCGTTCTCGTTGACGGTGACCAGGTCGAGCGCGGCGTTATCGCGCTTGTCGAAGAAGACCTTGTTGCCCTGCACCGAGATGACAATGTCCCAGGGGTAGACGGACCGCGGGGAGCACATGAGCATGGAGAGGATGTTGTCGGTGGCGAAGATGGAGGCCTCGTCCTTGTCGGCGAGCTCCTGGATCACAGGATCGGAAGAAGTCGTGACATTGTACGCAGCGCGGTCGATGGCGTTGAGCTTGCGCTCGAAGCCCTTGACGGCGGGCTTGTCGTAGGAGCGGTCGTAGTTGTAGACGAAGCCGTAGGCGTCAATCTCCTCGCCCTCGTCGGCGTCCAGGTTGAGCTTGGCGAGGCGGTTGTAGTCAATCTCCTCGAGCAGCTTCCAGTCGGCCTTGATGTTAACAGAGGCGTCGCGGTTGCGGGCGGGCTTGTCGTAGTCCTTCCAGCCGAAGCGGCGGCCGCCACGGCCACCGCCTCTTCCGCCCCGTTCGAAGCCTCCTCCGTAGCCTCCGCGGCCGCCCTGCTGGCCGCCACGGGCGGTAGTCGTCCGGCCACCGCGAGCGTTCTGGGCGGGACCTCCACGCTGGCCGCGGCCGCGGGTGAAGACGGCGCCACGGCCGAATCTTGTCTTGGTGCTGTCGCGGGTGTTGCTGACGACGGAGAAGGTGGACTCGTCCTCGGCGGGAGGGGCGTTGAAGGAGATGGCGTGGCCGGCACCGTAAACTTGTTGGTCTTGGAAGGAGGCGAGAGAGTCAGCGACGAGGTCGTTCTTCTTGGAGGGTTTTCGATAGCTAGAGAAGAGAGGTGATGATACTTACCACGGTAGTTACGGTTGTACTGCTGTCTGCCGCCGCGTCCGTCCCTGTCCTTGCCCTCGGAGGTCCAGTCGGCCATGCGACCAAGCTTGTCGCCCTTGGAGAAGGGCGCATAGGGGACACCGTTCAAGGTAGTCTCGATGGTGACGGGCGGGCCCCAACCATCGCCGGTCGGGCAAGTCTCGACGAGCTTGACCCAGTCCATTTCCTGAGCCATGTTGAAAATAATTTCTTCCTTGGCTATTGAGGTCGAAATCGAAAATCGAAGTCGGTCTAGCTGTGCGTCTCTCGGTAGGGGGAAAGGGGGGTGGCAGCAGCGCTTTCGGGCTTCTGAAAGATGGAAAAGTCGTCAAGGGTTTGGGTGGTGCACACCTCACCTCCTCTCGCCGTTGATTTTCGTCGTTCGGATTTGGTGGGGTGAAGTTTGTGGGGCAGAGCGGGCAAAATTTCAAAGTCTTGTGTTTCGACACCTGGCGGCGACTGTCAGCCACTCGTTTCCACGCGACGCGGGGCCACTGCCGGCCACGACCAGCTGCCGGTGCATCGTGGCCGCGAAACACCAAGTCATTCGCTCCCGTCATGACCGCAGGGTAATCCATCACCTTACGCCTATTCACAGTGAATCACCCTTCCGAAGATACATCTCACAAGCCGGTTACTATCTCATAGAATATCTTCACGATATTATTTTCAATAAAGACTTTCAAAAAATGTACATCTCATTAAGGCCGTGGTATCAAAAGTGGTCCCAAGGAATTTCCCAGAATACGCTCCAAATGTTTCTAGTTTGAGCCTCTCCTCACACCATATCATGCATGTAAAGATTCACTGAATCTCCTGATGAAATGCCCCCTCTCATGTCGCCAAATTCATGTCACACGCTCTTAGTAGGCGTAATTCATCATCTCCGGTCCGGAGCAGAAAACATTCTCCAATGCGTCCCTGACCTCAAACTCTTCCATCACGGCACCAAAGCTGGTCACTGTCAGAAAAAGCCAGCGCAAGTGTAAGTCACAATAGAGACACATACCCGTAGCATCGGACCTTGTCCTTGAGCTCGTCAGTGAGCTTCTGGAAATCCTCGGCGCGAAGTTCGTGGGCTCTGGGGTGGCCCAGAACCATGCCCCAGGCCATGACCGGCGTGACCTCTCCATCGAGGTTCAGCTTCTTGCTGAGGTCAAGCAAGGCCGAGAGGCTGCCTTTGCTCACTTCCCACGTCCTCTGCTGGGAGTCCAAGTCCCCGTTGACATTGCTGTACCCGAACGGGATGTCGGGTGTCAGCTCCGGGAAGGGCGCCGGGGGGCACGAGGCCATCAGCGCGTGTCCGCAGGGCTCGCCGCCCATCTCGCTTGATCTCTCCAACAGCCAGGGCATGTGATTCATGCAGGGTTTCTCGAGACTGTTACATACCCTCGATAACATCGCACTCGTCAGCAAGCTCTTCTTCCGTTCGTTGCAATCATCGCTCAGCTCACACCACCCGACTCCCGATGATGTCCAGGACTTGGTGATATGACAAGTACTTTTCACTGCGGGGGAGGTGATAGGTATGCCTTCGAGGGCGAGGGGTGGTGGTTATCGTACGTTAAGACGAAGTCAATGCCCGCTTGCTCAAAGTCCACACCTCTACCAGAGCTCTGCCCTTGTCTGTTTTGTTGCAGTTGCTGGCTGCCCATCTGGGGAAGGGGAGGGGGCAGACCGTGGGGGTAAGACGGACCGTGAGACGAGGGCGACACCGACGGCGCCGTCGTCGACGTCAAAGGTGGTGTATAGGCGTTCTGGCCGTAGCTGTGGCCCGACTGGCTGGCGCTCGATGTGTAGCCTCCGCTAGGGTTGCTGACCATATCGTCGCCATAGTGAGATAGAGGAATTCCGTTCTGGACCAAGAGTTGCTTGAGTTGCCTGTTCTCCTCGGCCACCTTATCCTTGTCTTGCGATATGTTGCTGAAGATTTCCTTCAACCTAAGGACCTCGTCTTCCAGAGCCTTGATGTATAGCTCTTTTCTTTCACGATGCGTACTGAGAACTCCACCGTCAGTACCCCGGTCGTGTTGCTTGATCCTCTTGCAACATTGTTCGTTACTTACCGTTGTGCCTGTCTGTTCAGTTCTTGTCGCCGAGTCAAAGCAGGTTTACTGTCGGGTTTCGGTCCTCTTCTTTTAGGTGTTTGGCCGTCTACAGTTACGCGTTGTCAGAACAGACTCTCTCTGGCACGGATACATCGTTGTCCCTACCTCGCGTTGTCCTCTTTTCCGTCAGGGACTTGAGAAAGCCCAAATTCAAGGAGCTCAGCGGGCCCCGCTCTTGGTCGGAGCCAGAGCCGCCGCCGCCATACTGGCCCTGCGACGGTTGCTTCCCGTACTGGTCAGGCGACAACGAGGAAGCCATCGCTGCCCTCTCGTGAAGCTCGCCCACAGACTGTTTTCGTGCCGGAGACAACGACTGGTTCGGCGGGGAGCGATAAGCTGTTAAGTTTCCTAGGTCAGTCATTGTGTCGTTCTACAACCATTGCTACGAAAGGAGAAGGGGTTTAAGAAGCGCGGCAGTTCATGTCGTCATGTGAAAAGGGGCAGGTACGAGGCTGTGGCGGGGGGTGATGTCTTTACAAATACGTCTCGATTCGTGGCGTACCCGACACCAGCCGGAGTGGACAAGATGACTTGAAGGGCTTACCTGGGAAGATTGGATGCGCGATGGTCAGTCTCCCGCTTCGTCTGGCAATGCGATGCTGTGTGACGGTGGTTGTCGTCCGCCAAAGCAGGGGATGTTGCGGTGGAAAGGGTTCGAGCCGTTCACGGCTGTATTATGCGCTGGGCTCTTCCGGACCGCGATTATGGTTATTTGAGAAGCTCTTCTCGAACGTGAAACCCAATTCTGGCGTCCGAGCTGTTTGAGGATGCTATGCGGTTGCGACGAGGGGACGAGCAGGGCGCGGGTAGTAGAGGGTCGGGGTAGGCTTGGTAGATTAATCCGCCCTGTTTTAGAATTGTTTGACACAGTCCAGACGAAGAGGATGGATGTCGTGCGTCCGGGGGTGGTTGGACGGTTGCAGTCTGGCTTTTTCTGGCTCCGGCTCAGGTTCAGGCTCAATCAAGCAAGCTCGGGCTTAGCAGTTATCCTGGACCTGAGGTAATCACTGGCCGCCTAACAGCTTGGGGTTGGGAACCTGGGGTGGGGGGGGGGGGGGGGGGGTAAGGGGACTCTGGAAATGGGTTGGAGGAGGGTAGCAACAGAAAAGGGCAGAGGTGATAAGGAGAGAACGGATGAAGGCGGAGCGGAGAAACCACCAAGAAGGCAAGGTAGAGACGGGGGGCGCGTTAATAGCCCTTGGTGGCCAATGTTTGTCGCGAATCGAGATGACAAGAGGCAGCGCCACCGCCCTCTTCTAAGACAAGATGGCGGAACTTGGAAGTCGAGAGCAGAAGGCGAACACGGGCGGGCGGCCAAGGCGGTCGGTTGGTCCAGTCAGATCAATCAGTCGCGAGCCCAACGAGTTCTGGCACGTCGTCTGGATGAGAGCAGCGAAAAGGATGACGGGAGGGTGAGTGAATATGCGGGGTTTCAGCGGCGGCAGCAGCAGTAGTAGTAGAAAGAGCAGCAACAGCGGCAGCAGCCCGTTGCTCGGATCGAATCGACGTTGAGCCCCTCAGTAATTATGATAATGAAGGGAGAGAAGATGGCAGAGCCGGCTAGCTAACAGTAGGTAGGCGTTCGCAACTCTGACTTAACATTAGGTAGGCTCTCTGTTGGTCTGGTTCACAAAGGCTTGCAAGAAAAACCCCGGAGACGGATCCTTGCGTCAAGGCTGAATGCCAATGGGTCCCCCCCAGTCGTCGAGACTCGAAAGTGCCTTAGTTAGGCGGTGCTGATTTGGCCTAGGACTTGAACGATCAAGTCCGATTTCGTTGCTTTTTCGGAATCATCGGCGGTTCCACGCACTTCTGTCCCCTTAGCTCGTCTGCTTTACGGCGAGAGAAAGAACGTCGGCTGGAGTGGCAGTCTGACGAAGCTGACGAACAGAAGCCTCTTGAGATTCGTCACCGGATAGGGCTATGCTATGTCGAATAGCTAGGTACTCGGACAGCTTGTAGGGGCGAGCTCTAGCTATGGTACTATGGGTGAGGCCGAGGAGAAGCGGGACGCGGCGTAGCCAGTACTGACTGTGTGACAAATATTGGAATTTTGTGTTGGCGCCGGCAATGATAGAGGCGGGGGGGGGGGGGGGGTAAGAAAGGCGCCTTCCGTGGACGGAGGGCGACGGTTCCTGGTCTAGACCCATCAAGCCTACGATCCGTTGGCGGTTGAGTGAAGACCAGCAGCGGCGTGCCCGTGGCTGGCCAGGGCCTTTCTCTCTCACACGTCTCTGTATCGGTTTATCCAAATCGCACTGAGATACCTACCTATTGGATTATAGTAGTCCAGAACCCACGTACCCAAGCTATCGAATGCTTCCCAGTGTCCGCTGGGCTGCGAACAAAAGAACGGCCCGAGCAGACTGAGCACGGCTGGAGAAAGGAGGCTTCAGAGGCTTCCAAGTTCCACCAGAGTGCAACAAAGTGCTACGCCGGCATAGCACAAGCGGGGAGGAAAGGAGGGGTTCCCATTCGCAGCTCCCGTTCTGGGCCAAGTTCATGTCGCAGCTGTGAGCAAATATCCGTCCACGGGTGCCTCAACCGTTATCCTCATTCCTCTCAGCTGTTCTCTTCCCGGCAAAGGAGAGTAGGTATCTGTAGTCTCAGTACTCAGTAGAGACATGGAGCGAGAGGCTCGGGTGCGGCATTCGGCCCTCCTTTCTGCTGCTGTTGCTTCGTCTGCCTGGAATGCATTCGCGTGGCTTGACTTGCTTGACTCGGCGTCTCATCCACCTACGCTCCAGCTTCCCTCCCCCCCAGCGCCGGCACCAGCTCCGACTCCAAGGACCAACAGTCCTCCAACTCCAACCACGAGTCCCCAACTCAGATCCAGACCCTGAGACCCCTGGTGGTAGGCGAGGGGCATGTTTGCTTGTTTGCTCGCTTGTCAGAATTGCTCGTCTTGGAATCGTCAGATTCCCATGCACGAGAGCCCTCGCCAGACAGAAGTAGAAGCCCGTACGTCCGTACAGAACGTGTCACAATTCTGACCCCTTGCTAGACCAACACTTCTCCATGGCAGACGTACACGTGCAGACTTGCATTTCTGCTAGCCAGCGGCGCGTCCAAAGTTTCTTGTTGCGAGGCAATCATGTAGCCTGCGAATCTCTGCGTGAAAATCCCATCTCTCAAGTCTCCCATCCACACAGACCTCGGTCCAATGGTCGCGTCGACATCGGACGAGCCGGGAAAAAGCCAAGAGTCCCTTAACTGGACCTCACACTTGACGGCCTATTTTGGGCATTTCGAATATGCACACTTGACTGCTTATATCTGCAGCCAACCTTGACAATCGAGCACCCTTCGGTCTGTGTGTTCAGTGTGCACATCTCGTCGCATGTCGAATGAAGTCCGGCACGTCGTAGAGCTGTCGGATCCTTCAATGCTGGCACTTTGACGTCTCACTCGTCCCTTCGAGACCTTCCAGGCTCGGCCCATGTGATTAACGGCCAGGAACGTGGAATCCCTGTCTTTGAGTGATTTGGAGGGGGGCTCCTCACTCCCATAATTGAGTTAAGCCCGCCGTTTGTCATTCGGCCCCAGAGATCTTTCATTGACCTTTGCCAAAAGTCCATGCCGTCATTTTATCCGATTTGGGAACTTGGGCGGGACCGGACGTCTCTGCTAGTGGAAGCCAGCCATAGTACCATCGTGTTTCCTTTTCCCCGATCCCGTGCTGTCGCAATCATGTCCTTCGAGAAGATCCTCAGCCCACGATCGCCAAACTCTAGAGCTTCTTCCTCGTTGGCAACAGGGAATACGGCTGTACTTGTGCTCGTCGACTGAGCGGGAAGAGGAACGCGCATCTCTGAGACGAGTGAACCCCGGATCATCGCCCGCTCGTTCGAAACTTTTCACCCTTGATCTGCTGGCCTAAAGGTCACGCGCGCACGCGGCTCCCTTTCGAAACATCCCTTGGTCTAGGGCAGGGTGTCTTAGGTTGTAGATCGGTTTGCCGCGCTTCGGCTCGCCCACTAGACGGCCAACCTTAATCTTTTCTTTTGGGACGTCGCCAGTTGCGAAATAACTCAGAGTGTGATCATTTTCGTGCATCGATTCACCTCCCTACGCCTCGCTCTCGGATTCCACTAGAGTGACTGCAAATTGACTTCTCAACGGTCATGGCTGGCCACGGCAACGTGCTCACTCACTTCCGAGGAGCTGCCATTTTAGCACCGTGGGTTCTTTGGTTGCTCTTGGCAGATACCGCCATCTCACTCCAGCTCCCGCTGAAATGGCTTGCGCCAGACTTCGTGTACAACTCTTCGTCGCGGATCGCCGAGACAGTTTGGTACTGGATCCAGATCATCTTTGAAAGATACAATGGCGCCAACATTACATTTTCCGGCGATGCTCTTCCCCGCGGGGAGTCGGCTGTGGTAGTCGCCAACCACGTCGGATGGGCGGACTTTTACATGATCCAAGCTCTCGCGATCAAAGCCGAGATGCTAGGTCGTTGCCGTTACTTTGCCAAGATTCAGCTGCGGATAGTTCCATTCCTTGGTTGGGGGTTATGGGCGATGGGTATGCCCATGGTGAGTCGTAACTGGGCCAAAGACAAGCATGAGCTTGACAGGGCATTCTCGGGTATCGTCAATAGGCAGTGGCCAACCTGTAAGTGCTTCAGCTGAGAGTCCTTTTCTTCCGATGTGAACAACATACTGATGATGAACAGGGCTCATCAGCTTCAGCGAAGCCACGCGTTTCACACAGAAGAAGTATGAGCAGTCAATCGTGTGGTGCAAGGAGTCGGGTCGGCCGCAGCCCATGCATTTGTTGTATCCAAGGACGAAAGGGTTCATCACCACCGTCCAACACCTCAGGAAGGCGTCTCACGTGAAGGCCGTGTACGATGTGACGATTGCGTACCAGAGAGGGAAAGACTTCCATGCGGCACCGACCATGTGGGACACGTTGAGCGTGCCTGGACTGAGTTCTCGACTTGGATATAAGTTCCACGTCCACGTTCGCAGGTTTCCTCTCGAGACCCTGCCGACGGACGACGAAAAGCTGGCAAAGTGGCTGGAGAATCTCTGGGTAGAAAAGGGAGAATGGCTGGATGTTAAGAAGGCCGAGTGGGCTTCAATGACTTGAAGCTGCTTGACACGGTCATCTTCGTGGCCAAATTTGTACACCATCTTGGAAAATTAATGGTTGGAAAGGACATGTAGTCCGTTGGTGTACAGGTGATGGACGAACAAGCCAGCTTCATTGTCAGGAGGTGGAAAGTGCCCTCTAGTGGGGAGCTGGGGCAGTCGCTCCTCCCTTTTGGCCAAATGACGGAAAGCGCTCTGCAGTGGCCTTTCCGTAATATTATACAAACTCGTCAAACCGTCCTGCTGCTTCCTCCTAATTCTTCTTTTGAGAACTTTTGAGCCTGTTGTAAAGGGAAAGAGGCTATTGTTCTCAGATGCCGGGCAGAACTGTGAGTTGCCTACCCTCCAGATGATTTAACTCGTTATGTGGACCATTACGACGATTGCGACTACGCTACACCTTCTTGCAAAAAGAAAAAGACGAGTTCATTTGCAGAGAGTTTCTCATATCCAGCATTGGTATATAGAACATTTCATGACAGCAAGGCTCCGATTCGACGCAGTAGCAGGTGATGTGACCCGATCTTTCACGATATATCAAATATTTCCCGAATTGACGGACCCTCTCAGACGAAGTGCTGGCCAGCAGTTTGTGTACAGGAACCAAATTCAATTCTTACCCCTGGCTTTCAATTGACTAATGGAAATCGTTGATTCTCTAACTTCTGCAAGGGGGCCGGCCGTACATGGCTAGGTTATTTGAGTACGAACGATACGAGGATTGCTTCCCGTGCACAGAGTCAATGAGTACTTGTTGGGTCAAATGTTGTCATGCGTAATTACAGCTCATCCATCTTCTCTATTACGTGTGGATGACGGATGATCGAGCTCATACTCATCGGACCAGTCGAGCCGAGACAAGCTGATAGTCTTATCTCGTTGTCAAATCATCGCCTTGCCGCTTCTGCGTCACCTTGAGCTTACTGTGCATACGCAGGTCATGATTGCTCTGGGGTTTAATAGACATCGTTGGATCACATGTCACCTCTTTCGGAGGAATAACTTGACATCCGCATTGGGAAGGGGACTCAATCGTCTCTTGAGTATCAATGATACACCGATTTGCTTGTATGTTACCATTGTTCGATAAGTGTTCTCGCATGAACTCAGCATGTACACATATTGAGGGATACCTTATGAGAAACAAAACTGTCCTGATAAGATACGCGAGCCCGCTGTAATCAAGGACGGGTGTGGACAGCCGTGGTTTTCTTTCACATGCCATATCACCTCGTCTTGTATCGGAAACTCTACGCTAGATAGGCCCCTCAGCAACAGAGCCGCGTCCTCCTGGCTGGGCATCCAACCAACATCTCCATTCTTATCTAAAGATGCAAATCACCTCTATCAAGCCACAGTCTCACACGGCATGGCCTTATCACACTTGCCCACAGCATCCAGGTCCCTTTTGGAGGGGAACACTATCTTTAGAGACCGGCGCATCGGCCGAGACAACCTCGTTCGCCGCCTGAGAGAACGCATATCCATGTTCTGTAACAGAAGGCTGCACCACAGCACTTCTACGTACCTAGAAGTCATCAGGAAAGAAACTACCGACATTCTTCGCGGCAAAGGACCGTCGTGTCGACGGCTATTGAAACTTTCAGAGTTAGCCGCCGATTTTGAGGGCGGCAGGCGTCTCTTCCGACGGCGATATCCCAGCGGCCCATCGGAGCTTTAACTTGACTTTGCTTTGCGCTTGGATTTGTCTCTGCATCCCGGGCAAACTCCTCGCTCTGATGGACTTGGATACTTCCTTTTCAATGTAAAGCTTGCAGAAGTCTCGTTCCCCAACGCTCCCTCGCTGCGTCTCTGCCACTCTCTTGCTGTCTAGCGATTGTTACAAGGACGCGAAGCACTATCTTAGTTTGTAGCGTTACAACCAGTAACATCCTTCTCCCCGAGTCGATTCTGATCCTTCCTTCTCACAGGGTGCCTTCTCACAGGGTGATGTGCTTTGCTTCCCCAAGCTCGCGAACATCCTAGATCTCCGTGGGGTGAGAGTGAAAGCGGCCTCCCTGGGCGGAACTCCTTCATCGTTTGGCGGCCCTAGCTTATGCGGCAGCATGAAAGCCAGATCTGAGGAGTTTGCCGTCTGTTCTGCACTTGACACCCGCGACGAGGGCCCCGCTCCGATCCCGCTCGGTGCGGACAACCGTCATGCCGGCCGGGACGGATCTCGGCGTTTCGGCGGGGCTTTGGACCGGCTTCCACCGCCGATTGGATGGTTCAGGAGCGGGGTTTGGGCCCAGGACCCGGATTTGATATTTTCCAAGGGCCGAGTGACTGAATTATTGTCAGTGACTTTCACCAAGAGGAGCAGCAGAGGACATGACCGATGCGCGCGTTTCCCCTTCGTTCGTTGAGCTTCTTGCGGCTGTAAAAGTGATATGGCCTAGGTAGCTAGCCTGCTCGCCTCTACTCTGGTCAATTTTCCGGGGTAATCAGGCTGCCACAGCTGTCGCCCAACCAATCTACCTACTAGGACCATGTCTTGTGAGATGTCTCGACGGACGCAGTGCAGACCTGGTGCGGTTCAATGTCTCATTAACGAAAAAGCCACCTGAAAAGCCCTCCGCTCAACTGGAACTAGTAGACCACCACACGATGTAGATCAACGGCGCTTGACCTCATTCTTCTTCGCAGTCTACTACATATTTCAAATGGCTGAGCGATCTCATGGCATTTGGAATGGAGGTACAGACTTGAGCCGTGGCACTCTCGAGTACCCCAAAGCACATTTGGCAAACCCAAGGGTCTTGGGATAAGCCACCGGCAACTTGCCCCATCTTTGGAGTATGCCAACTGTGCTACTTCACTAGCATATCTTTCGTGGCAGACCAGTGGGTGTTGGTTCAGCGAATATTCACGTCTTGGAGATGGATAACTGTCGATTCCTCTGTGAAATGCCATACCTACTCACAAGTACCGTGATAAAGTCATCAAAGTAAGGTAGTAGTATCGTCTCGAGTGTTTGGCCATGAGGCAGACGCGGAACTCGAGAAACTCTGAGACATGCCTATAGTGTCTTCTATTGATAACAGACTGCCAATATGTGACGAGAACCGTCCATGGAGAACCCAGCTCGGAAAGTTTGCACTGCCTACAACACCCGCGGCTAACAAGCATAAAGTACCCGGATTGGCCTTCGATCGCGACTCAAAACGGGCACATAGTTGAGTCTGAACGAACTCTTCCGTCATGTACGATGCCTGCAACTTCACAACGACTGACAGGATCCTTTAGAACCTTTCGCCTGGACGCCAATGTTCTGGGATTTACCAATATTACTGTCCGAAAAGTCAATTCAGAGAATGACAGGCTGGGCAAGAAGGACCTCTGCGCCTCCCAGCCACTAGGTCATCCGCCGTGCCGCCCCAGGCTATTCCCACTCTCACTCCGCGCGAGGTCGATCAGCAGAACTGACCGCCTCTGTAGATCGCGGGAGGCGTCTTTAGTCATCTCATCTTTCTCACAGAGGTTGCGGTTCAAGACACCTAGCGGGTGCCGGACCTTGAGGATTTGCCGCGTCTCGAATTGAACGAGAACGTCATGTCCGGACGAGAAACGAAAAAAAAAAAAAAAAAAAAGCATTGGGAGTGTGATTTGGCATCGACTAAGATTGGCAGAAGAAACGGCCTAGAGAAGGGTTTGGGGGGAAACCCCCAAGGCCGTGCTTTTCGACCAGCTGACTTGACGATCCAGCAGGATCCCACAACCTTGTAGGCGGAAGAGAAGCCGGAGTTGGGTCTGTCTGACGGTCTGTGGCATGAAGCTGGGGCCAAGGATGGATCTGGGGTAATTGAGGCTTTCCTCCAACCGCCGGCGCGGCGGCTGGCTCTGAAGTCTGACTTTCAGAGACAGAGAGACATGCAGTTGCATGAGTCGTTAAGTTTGTCTGGGGTTGCGGCAAAGGAGGGGGCTAATTCCAATTGGAAAACTCTCGCCGTCTGAGCTTCTGGCATGTTTTGGATGGCGTCCCGTGGAATTTCTTAACTGATAGCAGGTAGGGTCACTAGTTACTCTCGCTCCATTCATTCCGGCGCCGAAAACCAATGGACAGAGAAAGACAGCGCCTTGTGCTTTGGACGAACAGTATAGGTATTTGATTGAGCAAGGTAAGCGAGTTGAACCCGTCATTCCTTACCTAGGTAGGCATGGAAAAGTACATCTCAATGGATCATCATCGATATCTGAGTCCTCTGCCGATGGGAGAGAAGAAAAGATGATCAGTAGACCAGAAAGACTAGCAGCTCGATTGGCCAGACTAGATGATTGGGGGCGTACGACCGGGTACGCCAGTCTTGTCAATGGAACGCCTTGGTAGTAACTAATAAGCCTGGGGGAAAATATTCAGAGACGGGATCTCGATTCGGCACCACTACCCCGTCAGCGGGCTGGGAAACTGTAAGCGTTTCCATGAGTTTGCTAACTATTATGAGCGAGAAGGCCCTCGAGAAGCTAGTGTTCTGAAAGAATAGAAGGATGCAGGGTATGTGTGAGCGGCAGGGATGATCGGGATGACGAAGAATCTCGGATTAGTCGGTGAAGCGGATAGCATCGAAGAAATAGAAAGAAGTCAAAGAAAGGCACAAAGGCACAGGTGACAGGGAAGCCAAACAGACAGCATTTGAGGGTGTCGCGCTGCAGCAACGTGCTCACGCTGCACACCCCGCATGCTGGGAACTCGAGATGATTCGATACTCAGGAATGCGTTACTAGAAGACATGCTGAGATCCTCTGTTCACCCTATCGCCGATTGGGTTTGGGTGTCAGGGATGGCGGGAAAGGCAACATCATGTGGGCAGAACACTTGGCGCGGGCGTCTTGGGGGGTTAGTTGAAGTCGATCTCAGCTATTAAAGCTGTGAGGTGTCCAAGTAAGTAGGTGGGATGCAAGAGAGCAGGATTGAGGCGGGAGATCCCGGTGAGCAGCATAGGCGGTGGGAGACCACCGCAGATGGGTTGTCACCTCACATGGACGTCGTGAGATGGTGGTGCCAGCGGCTGTGGTGAACTGCCGTTGCAAAGACGCATTGGGGCCGGTCGAACGGGTTCATGACACTTTCGAGCCTGTCTCGACAATCTCGCGTGGGTCGTCGTTCGGAGCGGCGTGTGGAGCACGTTTTCTTCGCAACAGTCTTTCCAGCTTCGAGACTCCCTTTGCTCCGCTTACAACTCGCATATCGTTCCACAGCATCCCGGGCATTGGGTGGCGCCCCTGTATTGCTGGCAGGCTGCAGGGTGGCCAACGGCGTTTTTCTGCGGCACTCTGACCGACGACATCTCTATCTTCGCTGGGGTTGACAACTTGACGCAATGGGAGTGTGTAAGATGGCAGTCTTCGACGTAATGTCGAGATCTGGCCAAGGTGGTCGGTGAGCAGATGCAGGCGAGCCATGCAGCTGCACACCGGAGGACATTACCTAAGACCTTGCGCGAAAGGGTTGCTGAACACTTGTCCTGCAGTGGTGGTATTCGCCATGGAATAGGTGTGTACAAACTCGTGGGTGTGGCACGCGTGCCATGACAGACTGGGAATGCCAGCAGCTACTGCAAAAACTCAAGCAAGAAGCAAGGTCAGGTATTCGTAGAGCCCTCATTAGCTGACCACTAGATTGCGGTTCTTGCGAGGCTCTGCAACCTCCGTTTGACTTGAGTTCGTTCTCCATGCAATACCTAGGCAAAGTTGTAGAGGAGGGGGAATGTGGCGGATCACTCGTCGTCTCCCTTCCTTCCCGAGCCTACGAACGTCAGTCAAGGCTCAGTTACTGTTGGCTTTATCTATAGATGCTCATGGTGCTTCCGCAGAATTTGTGATTATTTTGGTCTTTTTTGATGGTCTTTTTTGAGCCAGCCTTGACATTGGGCTGAAAGTTGTTTGAACACCGTTTGCCGTCAGAAACAGCACGAGGCGATTTCAATCTCTCTGCTACTTGCTGTAAACTTGAGACACCCCGGACTGGGGATGTCCAATGGAGATCAGCGCAGTCTTGAGGGGTCGGCTTGAACCAGGTCGTTTGCATTCTCGAAGTGGTCCATCCCGGATGGCCCGTCGACGATCTGAGTGTCCCTCACAGAGATCCGCAGCCCCCAACACAAAGGAGGGGTGACAACTTGGGACCGGCGGCGCCGTAACGAGGACTCTATGGTCAAGCAGGAGACCACGGGCAGCGAGTATTGAACGCAAACACAGCTTAAGGCGGAGACATTTCTGTTTTTGACAGGGCCAACAGGCTGAGGTGCCGTGGTGCCGCGAATGTGACGGTGTATTTCGAGTAGTATGCACCAGAGAGCCATTCCGTGGCACGATAGGACACAAGCAAAGTCACATACCGGCTACGTCGCGACGAGGGTGTTCAGTATCAAGACGAGGTCCCCTCCCTTACTGCTACACCTCAGATGAATCGACTTGACGGGGAGACCAGCTGATGGTGTGTCTCACCACGATGGTATGGGCTGGGACGGGAAGCCCCAATGCAAGTGCCACCTAGCATGCCCTGCACTTTAGTCCCCGGGACCAACATGCGGCGTCGGCTTGTACTGACTAACCGGCGGAAACGCGGATGTCATCCATCCAAAGTCAAGCGGTGTCAGCTAGACAAACGAGGGTTGCGTGGGCTGTTGCTAACCAAAAGACCTCCTGTACTCTGTCGTAGGTGGTACTGGATCACGTCGCTCAACAATGGAATTGGAGTGGAGGTGAATAGAGACGAGTGGCCGTTGAATAACAGTTGTGCTCTAGCTCGTCGTGCTTGTGTCTCCTGTGACGGGGTTACTACTACCTATGTGGACAGTGGCCTCGGCTTCGACGTTGGAAGGCCGGGGCTGAGAGCTGGAGGACCGAAGATGGGATAGCCGTGTTTGCGAGATGGCATTTGGCTGTTGGACCCTTGGGAGAGGTCTTTGGAGGGTCCAGATGAGTTGGTAAGCCGCCCGTCTCCGTAATAACGACCCATGAATGGCATCTTGCGAGAGACAGGCATGTTTGGCTAGCGTGCCGCGCAAGGGAGCCGGAAGAGCAGAGTTTCCCATGTGGCCGTGTCAAACTTTGGGCTGGTGTTTCTGGCGCTCTCCCTTGGTGTAATAAAGACAAAGTCGTCTTGGGCTGAAGTTTGAAGAAGGGGTGCGGTACGTGTATCATGTCGGAAGTAAAGGCAAAAGAGCAGCACTGCAGAGAGGGGACGAAAGCGTTTGTTTGCCCGCCGAGTCCGTTGTTGTTACCAGTCGGAGGGCGCAAGGGAGTTGGATAGCGACACCAAAGATAAGGCAAGGTGGAAAGCAAAACAAAGCTCGAGAGATAGATACGGCCGACTCTTTGCCGAGCACGGTGACTGTCTCTGTATCCTTCACAGACTCCGGAGGGTTGCGTGTGGGTGTGCGAAAGACCGGGAGTTGAGGGTGGTAGGGCAAGGCAGGCCGTGGGTTTGGGAGGGTCTCGATGCATGGTGTAAGTGTTGCTTCGCAGGATTTCTTGCATGGCCGTTGTTGATTTTCGTCTTGTCCTTGGTAACTCGTTTCTTTTCCCGGGTTGTCGTCTTCCTCCTCCTCCTTTTCCTGTTCCCACCCCTCCGCAGGTCATCGGAGCCCCCCGGTTTCTCCGTCTGCCTGATACCTGGGATGCTAATGAGGCACAGAAGTGGTTGGCGGCGTGTGTCGTGACTCCTGGGGCAGTTCTGGAAGAGACCGTGATGGCGACGAGGCAAAGAAACAAAGAGTATCCGTAAACGCAGTTCCATGCTAGTAATACTGAGTGAGCATGGAACCTTGAAGCAAAAAGCCTTGGACTGACCACAACTCTGCCCTGTTCGCTGGACCGTTGTTGATTTGTTTCCAGCGGACAAAACCTCCGAGTGGTCCCCCCAGCGGCGGCCCCTCCGCCAGCCCAGCGAAGCCGAAGCGTGAGGCAATGGCCAGGGCCCAGGGCAGGGCCCAGGGCAGGGCCAGTGTCCCGATTCCCGTCTCGTCCAATGTGTGACTCGAGGTGGTACGGTGGTGAGGTGGTGGTGGGCTTCTGCTCTTGGGGACACCTCAGATTTCTTCTCCGCCCTCCCTCTTCCTTTGGTACTATTCGTGACTGCAGCGGGACTACACGATGCTCACAGCTCAGCAAGGTACCAAGGTATCCTGAGGGTAGGTAGGTACGGCAGGCAGGTAGGTACCTACCTTCTTGGGTTCTCGCTCCTGCCCCTTCCCTTTCCTTCCCTTCCACCTTCCTGCCCTGCCCTCCCCTCCCCTCCACTCCCCCCCCCCAAAAAAAGCCCCAAAAAGTCACACCCGACTCCCCGACTCCCTCGCTCGTGTTTTAGCGACTGAGCTAACTGAGTATGGCCCTAGACTGCATTTAATAGAAGTACGCTGCGTCGCATACAGATTTGGCTTGTCATGCATGTACATCTACTGGGTCGGCTCCGGTACATCATGATCTGATTGGCCACATAAGACCATATACCCGCTTTATCCGCCCACCCTGACCACTGAATGCTTCTCAAGACCCATAATAAGGACGCGACCACTGGGCACCTCCTGCCCTGCTTGCTTCAAGGCGTGGATAGTGCTGGCTCGGTTTGACTGGGCTCTTGCCGATTGAGACTGAGAGTTTCTCCTCTGTACCTGCCCGCGTACCTTAGCTGAGGGCTGCTAAGTGCCAAACGCAAAAAAGGCCAACGCAAAGACAGTAATGAGTGACTGACACCATCATCACAAAGGGCTACCCTGCGGCGTGAACTTTTGCCTGTGCCGTTCCCTGGGATCTTTTTTTTTCTTCCTACCAGAGTTTTCTTTTGGTGTTTTGTTTGACGACGACACACAAGGCCCAATACGGCCAACGACCTTGCGAGCTCTGGCCCTGACTGCAACGCCTATCGTCGCGTTCACCTTCGCGTCTCCCTTCGTCGACTCATTCCGTCCTCGCCCGGCTTTCGAATAGACAACGGAGAATCGAGAATCCTTGGTCGGTCCACCAGAACCACCACCACCACCGACATTCGATCACCTTCACTTTCGTCCACGTCGAGCAATCCCTTCCGACTTTCAAGCTCCTTTCCTGGGGCCTCCGACCGCTCGTCGCCGACAATACCTTCATTTCTCTTGCCACGCCTCCGCCGTAAAGTGGGCAGCGTCTTGTGTTCAACACTAGAGCTCCCATCGCTACTTCGTGCCTTGGACCCTTTTGCTTCGATTCTCGTCATGTCTCGTGGTCTGGCTTGCCTTTAGTCTTGGCCCTTTGCCAGACAACCTGGCTCTCACTCGGTGCTTCGAGTTGAACCAATTCGCGACTTGCAACAGCCACGACATCTTCACGCCCTACCTCGAACACACACTCTCCAGACAGTCCTCGCTTGCCGAGACGGTTCAAACCGGCCAATGGTATCGAAACAACTCGGGATCTCACCCGCTTCTCTTCCACAATGGAACCACCGCAACTCAACATGCTGGCGCCACCGGCCGTGACCTCTCTTCGGGCACAGGCCGGCGTCATGGAACGATCTTTGAGCGAAGATATCCGAGAGGAGCGAGAAGAACTACGTGAAGCTGCCGAGCAGACTCTCAATGTCATTCTCGACCTCAACCTCGACGGCACTATCCGATGGGTCAGTCCGTCATGGACCGATGTGATTGGCACTCTGCCCGACTCGGTCAAAGGAACTGCGATAGCCGACTTGATCATCAGCGAGAACAAAACGGCCTTTGCGGATACCGTAGAGTACATGAAGAAGGACGACTCGCGGAGCCATAGAGTACGCTTCGCCGTCACAATGGGCCCACTATCCAGATTGCTGCCCATCGAAGGCCTTCAAGACCAGGAACCAAACGAGGCCAACGAGAGGGTTCCCGAGGCAATCGACCTGGAAGCCCAGGGCATCATGGTGTACGATGGTGTCTCGGGGGGGGAGAGCCATGTAGGTACCTCATTATCACCCCAACTTCCTTGCTAACAAAGCGCTTGCTAGACAATGTGGATGATTCGACCCTACATCGCACCCAGAGAGATCAAGATTGACCTCCCTGCTGTGATCGTCGACTCTCTTGGATCCGGTGCCGAAGTCCTTGCCAGCTATCTTACGCAGCTAGCCGAGTCTGGCGTCGATGACCCCGAAAACCACCCACCGCCGTTGCCCGTTCTGTGTCGAATCTGCGAGCGACAGATTTCTCCTTGGTGGTTCGAAAAACACACCGACCTGTGTCTTCAGGAGCACCGGGCAGAGATGGATGTGCAGATGGCGCAGGACAGTCTGACGGACCACCGACACTCCATTGTGAAAGTTCTCGATGCTCTCGAGGCGAGAAAAAGCCGGCCACTTACAGGCGATCAGCTTTCTGGCCCAGCTGCTGAGTACAAGGGCTTGCCAATTGGCCCTCCTCTATCAGCCTCGTCATCCCCTGGAAGTTCCGTTTCGCAGTCAAGAGAGAGATCAGGTGGTTTCGGCCACTCGCGAGCTCGCTCTTTCGCCATCAGACGTCCTCAAGCAAGAATTGTTGAGTTGCTTCTTGACCTCTGCGATACCGCCATCGAAGTCAGCACTCCAGCGGTGAAGGAGGCTTCATCGCAAAACCCCGGCGAGATCAGGACGCAATCTCCTCAATCCGAGTCTCGCATTTCGCAAGTCATGCAGTGGCAATCACCCAGCAACAATACTTTGGAACAAGAACAGGGCCTAGCTCTGCTCTGCGCCGACACTGAGAAGGCCGCGAAAACCAAGGTTGAAGCAGTCTTCAGACACCGGAAAATCATCGAGTATGCGGAGCGCATTAGAATTGAGTTCGCTGTCATCGTTCAGGACTGCATTGATGAGGCAATGCGGAAAGCAGCTCGAATCGCTGCTGGTCGGCTGAGCGATTCGACTGAAGACGGGGAAGAGGAGCAAGCCACGCCGGCGCAGGAGGAGCTCTTCTTTCAGGGATCGTTTGAAAATCCTTCGGCCCTTGCGGCTGCTTTGCAAAACGTCAGCCTGAATGACAACACCGACAGACCAAGACCTACTTCCTTTGTGGGATCAGCGCGCTCAAGCAGCCCTAGAGAGTGCCCGACGCCGAGATCGAATTTGGGAGGATTAAACCCAACTGCACCTGCCCGCGAGTCCCGGCGAGAGTCATTGCTTTTCGAGAGTGACGCTGGAGACAGCGATGGAAGTATTCGCTCTTCTTCTGTTACTTCTCGACAGCCACCGCGTACCGACTCCCCGATATCTGAGTTTGGCGATCTTCGTCGGGCAGCTAGCTCGAGACAACATCATCGCAGAAGCATCATTCTGCCCGGTACGTCTTCACCTCGACGACAAGAATCACCTTCGCGTATGAACCAACCATCATCCCCTCTACGAATCATCAAGCCGCGCAATTTCCCGTTCCCACAAGATGGCGTTACGTCGCCAGAAGCATCACCCTTGCTACCCGGGAGCGATTTCAGCTCTCCAGCTCATTTGCCAGCCAATCACCACCGTCGACAGTCCTCAGCAGCCATGTCCGAGTTTGTGATGAAAGGTCCGCCGTCTCCCAGAATGGCTGCCCATCAGCCTCCCCCTCAGGCAAGGCCGGCGCCTCCCTCCATCAAAGATTTCGAGATTATCAAGCCAATCAGCAAAGGCGCTTTTGGCAGTGTTTACTTGTCCAAGAAGAAGTCGACAGGAGAATACTTCGCTATCAAAGTGTTGAAGAAGGCAGACATGGTTGCCAAGAATCAGGTTGGCAATGTCAAGGCTGAACGCGCCATCATGATGTGGCAAGGCACAAGCGAATTCGTCGCCAAGCTCTACTGGACCTTTTCCAGCAAAGATTACCTGTATCTCGTGATGGAGTATCTCAATGGTGGCGATTGTGCGTCTCTGATCAAGGTACTTGGTGGTCTTCCGGAAGACTGGGTGAAAAAATACCTAGGTGAAGTGGTTCTTGGCGTGGAACACCTGCACAGTCGGAGCATTATCCACCGCGATCTCAAGCCCGACAACTTGCTCATCGATCAAAAAGGCCACCTGAAGCTCACGGACTTCGGTCTTTCGCGCATGGGTCTAGTTGGACGACAGAAGCGAGCGCTGGACAGTCAGAATTCCGATCCCACGCCCGACCTCCTCAAGCAGGGTCCATTTGCTCGCTCAGCATCTCTGGCATCGTCCCGGTCTACCTCACTTGATCTTCACCCTCATACTTACTCACCTAGCATGACGCCACAGATGACACCCGACACTGGCTCCAGCGGCGGCCAGCCCTCATACTTCGCCCTGGGAGGGCCGGAGGTCCGACGAGTCTCTAGTCACCGTAGCGAAAGCGGTGGTAGCGAAACCCTTGCTCGCATGCTCAACAGCTTTTCTTTGGCCGACCAAGAGCATAATGCCCCGATTCAAAACGCCCAGCCGACGCACGATGATGCGAGTGAAAGCACCGGCCAACCTTCGCCAGACATGGCGGCACTTCATCATACCAGCACTCAGTCCAGCATTGACTATCTGGGAAAGAATACTCCCCCGCAGTCTACGATGATGCCACCGCCGATGGCCCTGTTCGATCCGGAAGACACCAACCGCCGTTTCGTGGGGACACCCGACTACCTCGCCCCCGAGACCATCAAGGGCGAGAAGCAAGACGAGACCAGTGATTGGTGGTCTGTTGGCTGCATCATGTTTGAATTTCTCTACGGATTCCCGCCATTCCACGCCGACGAAGCAGAGCAAGTCTTTGAAAACATCCTTGCACGCAAGATTCAGTGGCCGGATGAGAACGAATGCGAGCCGATCTCAGACGAGGCGAAGGATCTGATCAACAAGCTGCTCTGTATGGAGCCCCAGTCGCGCCTTGGAGCCAACCGGGA